ATGTCTCCTTTATTTTTATTGCCTTATTTTCTCTATTTCCTTCGTTAAACTCAATTCAATATTCTTCTTAATTACACGTATCCTGATTTATTATTATTCCATTATCATTATTATATCTTCTCTTTTTCAAATATGGCAAATATAATGCTAACATTATTGAAACTTGTATTATTGCATTTTTGACGAAACCCGAAATGGTTTATTCACAACACTTATGTATCCATAAGTTGTTTGTGAATAATAATAATTACTAATATTTTCTACGTGGTGGCACTGCTAGTCCTATACCTTACCCTTATTCATGTAGGCTTAGGACCGGAAGTATCCTTAGGAGGACTCTGAATTGTAGTTCAGTTACCAGTCGACGTAAGTTGTTACATAGCCACGAAACTAGTTTTCACCAAACGTATCTATTATTAGTGAATGTTTAGCCGTTACTGAGGTGTTTTTCATGGGAGAAACATGAGCGACATCTATTAGTGATTTAAACCACAAGGTTACAAAAAACCAATGGATTTCTTCAAGGTCTATTGCACTGATGGATTCTCGTAAACTCATCCCATCAGGCTCTGAACACGATGAAGAGTGTAAATAAATCAGATCTAGGTTAAGCGAAAGTCTAAGGAACGACCGTGAGCAGTGGTGGGCAACGAAAGCAAAAGAGATGGAAAAGGCGGTGGCTATAGGGAACATAAGACAGCTCTACAGACTAATAAGGGAAACTGGAATTAATAAGTCAAGTGCAAGTGAGACTATTTCGGAAAAAGACGACACCCTCATCTGCTCTCAGTCCAGACGTTTAGAAAGGTGGGCGGAACATTTCAGAGAACAGTTCAGCTGGCCTTCAGCTACTCTACAACTGCCCTCCATTCCCAGACAGTGTGAATGGAACATTGAAGTAGGTCCCCCAACTCTAGCAGAAGTTCAAAAGGCTATAATTAATCTGAAACGAGGAAGGGCAGCTGGTTCAGATGGATTGGCTCCAGAGGTCTTTAAGGATGGTGGCCCAATTTTAGCGATTAGGTTGACCAATATTTTAGCTAAAATCTAGGAACTGAATGTAATTCCGTCTGACTAGTCGCAATCATTTATCGTCACAATACATAAGAAAGAGTCAAAATCATTCTATGAAAACCATAGAGGGATTAGTTTAGCTAATATAGCATCTAAAATACTAGCCTCAGTAATTATCAGACGCCTAACTAAGACTCGTGAACTGCAAACACAAAATCAGGCTGACTTCAGACCTGGTGGTGATTGCATCGACCACATTTGCACCATTCGTCAGGCTCTAGAATATAGGCATACTTATCGGCGTCCGACAATGGTAGTCTTTCTTGACTTGAAAGCAGCATTTGACTATGTAGATCGACAGGTTCTTTGGCAGTTTCTGTCATTGAAAGGCGTACCTCAGAAGTACATAAACGTTGTGAAGGCTCATTACTCGAACACTACTAATTGAGTCAGAGCTTATGGCGAACTTTCGTCTGCTTTTACAACCTCAAGTGGTGTCCATCAAGGCTGTCCACCATCTCCATTTTGGTTCAACTTCATCATGGACCCACTGCTAGAAATAACGTTCTCGTCAACTTCATTTTCAGGAATTAATCTCCTACTAGGAGGTCCACTCCCGACCGTTGTTGCTACCTTGACGTGGTGGTCGGGCTTGCCTATCGTGATGAAGCAACCGAGCCATACTGGCTGGAACAACCGTTCCTCAAGGTCCTACCATGTCAGACAGGTCGGTTGAAGAGCGGTAAGACTAAAAGCAACAAACCCAAGGTCCGAAGGCGAAGTCGTACTGCTGACTGTACAGAGGTGTGACAGCAGTAAGGTGTTTCCTTCAGACAACCAGCATGACAGCGATGCTGCCTTCCCACAAGGAGGGGTGGGGTTAGAAAAGGTCGACCCTAAAAATGCACACCTCGCCTTATCCCACGGATATCCGTCTCCGGCGGTAAGGTCTCAATAAGTACGGAGCTAACACAAAAATTACCCATAACAAGGTCGTGTGTGACCGACCTCAAGCAGTTGTCCCTTGGGCACTGCGGTCACGCTCTCAGGTCACTAAGACCACCTTTAATCCAAATTCCTTTTCAGGTACCCCCAGAACAACCCTTCCACGGTGTGGGCGACCGGGCAGTGAAAACCGCCCTCATACCTCTAACAGCACTCAAGACCACTGTATTCATAATCAACCTTCCTCTTCAATTCCTATTATTCCTCCTACATCGACTTTCACCTTTAAATTTCCTCTCTCGGCTTCCACCTCAAGTGTCACCATAGCCAACGATTCTAGTGCGCAAAATACTGTCCCAGGTCTACTGAAACCTCGCTCCAAACTACACATTGGAGCCTTCAACGTACGAACCCTATGTCAAATCGGTCAGCAGGCTTCCTTGGCTAAAACCCTAGAGTCTCTTACCATTGACGTGTGCTGTGTCTCCGAAACACGCATACAGGATTCCAGTGTGGTCATTCACTTGACCTCACCTCGGCAAAACGGAGAGCCAACGAGGTACACCCTTCGTGTATCTGGTGACCCGATGGCAAGTTCTCGTGGACTGGCAGGTGTAGGCATAGCACTAAGCATGAGGGCCGAACAAGCACTGCTAGAGTGGATCCCCGTCAACAGTCGTCTATGTGCTGTTCGGCTGAACGGCTACGTAAGAACTCGGAAGGATAGGGACACACGTCGTTGCCTTTTTGTCGTTTCTGCCTACGCTCCCACTGACTGCAGCTCAGATGATGTGAAAGATGAATTTTACAGAAAGCTGTCCGAACTTCTTCAGAAAGCTAAACGCTCAGACATAGTACTCGTAGCAGGTGATTTTAATGCTCAGATAGGCAGTTTAAACCAAACAGAAAGGCATTTAGGTGGATATTTTAGTATTCCGACACAGCGAACAGATAATGGTGATCGTCTGCTGCAGCTATGCTCAGACAATCGTTTATTTTTAGCAAACACAAATTTTAAGCATAAGGAGAGACATCGTCTAACATGGCGACCCCCCTACACCAAACCAACGATGGACTCAAATAGACCATATTGCCATCAGTCATCGTTGGAGAGGGTCGGTAGAAGATTGTCGCTCATTCTGGAGTACCTGCTTGGACTCCGACCATGCCCTAATACGGGCACGCATCTGCTTGCGCCTCACTGGACGCAAAAAAGCCACATTAAAAAGACCCGTTAGAACTGAGTTGAGTAACGAGAAAACTAAAAGTAGGTTCCAGGAACAACTGAGGTCACACTTAGGTAGTTGTGAAGACGAGGCTGACCCAGATGTTGCTTGGAAGGGCATACATTCAGCTGTGGAAACAGCACTGACATCTATTAGTGACTTAAACCACAGAGTTGTAAGGAACCAGTGGATTTCTGCAAGGTCTGTCACACTGATGGATTCTCGCAAACTCGTGCCATCAGGTTCTGAACATGATGAAGAGCGAAAACAAATCAGATCTAGGTTAAGAAAAAGTCTAAGAAACGACCGTGAGCAGTGGTGGGCATCGAAAGCAAAAGAGATGGAAAAGGCGGCGACTATAGGGAACATAAGACAGCTTTACAGACTAATAAAAGAATCTGGAATTAATAAGTCAAGTGTAAGTGAGATTATATCGGAAAAAGACGATACACTCATCTGCTCCAAGTCCAGGCGTTTAGAACGATGGGCGGAACACTTTAGGGAACAGTTCAGCTGGCCTTCAGCTACTCTACAACTACCCTCCATTCCCAGACAGTGTGAATGGAACATTGAAGTAGGTCCCCCAACTCTAGCAGAAGTTCAAAAGGCTATAATTAATCTGAAACGAGGAAGGGCAGCTGGTTCAGATGGATTGACTCCAGAGGTCTTTAAGGATGGTGGCCCAATTTCTAGCGATTAGGTTGACCAATATTTTAGCTAAAATCTGGGAGTTAGACGTTATCCCATCTAACTGATCACAATCACTTATCGTCCCAACATATAAGAAAGGGTCAAATCATCCTGTGACAACCACAGAGGGATTAGTTTAACAAACATAGTATCTAAAATACTGGCCTCGATAATTATCAAACGCCTAACTAAGACTCGCGGACTACAAACTCGAGAGAACCAAGCTGGCTTTAGACCTGGTCGTGGCTGCATCGACCACATATTCACCATTCGTCAGGTTCTAGAACACAGGCATACCTATCGGCGTCCGACGATGGTGGTCTTTCTCGACTTAAAAGCAGCATTTGACTCGGTAGACCGCGAGACTCTGTGGCAGTGTCTGTCATTGAAAGGCGTACCTCAGAAGTACATAAACCTTGTGAAGGCTCTTTACTCGAACACTACTAGTCGAGTTAGGGCTTATGGCGAACTGTCATCTACTTTTGCAACCTCAAGTGGTGTCCGTCAAGGCTGTCCACTTTCTCCATTTCTGTTTAACTTCATCATAGACCTATTGATGGAAATAACACTCTCGTCGACTGAATTCTCGGGTATTGATCTCCTTCCAGGAGGTCCACTTATCGACTTAGAATACGCAGATGACATAGTCCTGTTTGGTGAAGACGCAGAGTCTTTTGGTAGCACTGAGCAACAATGCCAGGATGTTTGGGATGCGTTTCGCCCCTTCTAAATGCAAGTTGTTGCATCAAGACTGGCCTGCGTGAACACCCGAACTAAGGATAGGGAGCAAAATATTCGAACACGTCGACAACTCCACTTACCTTATATATATACTCGCGTTTTAATGTGGCAACATAGGCCGATGCACATATATGCCAGGTTCCAAGTTACATGTGACTAAGTATTACTTTATCAAGGCATTTCATTTACTCATCAGGAGAAGACCAAAAAAAACTCAAAACTATCATACGGTCTTCATTCTCTTGATAGTTAGCTGAACCATCTAATTCTTCCCAGTCATTATCTTGACACATTTATAGCCCGAATAAGACCCACATTTCATCCTCCCCTAACAGGGAAAATGGAGACCAACGAATACGACGAATACAAATAACGACAAACGAATTACTAGAAATCACGAACCATTTTCAATATATCAAAAACACAGACTACAATGAAAGAAATATTTGGTTGATTAAGTATGAAAGTATACGTGAAGTCATCCACGAGATTTGTAAAATAAACAGAAATGAGTAACAGTATTCGTAATGCCAAAAAATGTAAATGACACGAAAATCAAAAGTGCGTTTTAATAACGTAGAACTTAACGGCAAAATACACACAAAGCCATTCATATATAGAAGGAGTAGTAAGCTTATTAGGAAAAAATCACTTATATATATACAAATAATTTACTCATTTAGTTTCTTAGATAGTCAATATCCATGACTGATTAATTGATAGCATTACTAGTTAACTCTTCATAACACATTTGGCACACACGAACTGGATCTTTACTAAACGTTGTAGAAGCCCGATTAGAAGAACAGTTTTGGCAAAATATACCGCCACAATTTCTACAATGATGCTATATATGCAAAAGGAAAAAGGATGTCATCATTCGTAATTACTTATCAAGTAAGTATTAAAAATACATTGGATTACAGTGTGTCAACATCATTTTAGATACATGAAATATAATAGAGAATTTTACTTAATACGAAGCTTCAAGACATCGGTTATTTTTAGTATAAGATTGTAGAGCTGGTTGAATTTCATTGAAATTATGAACTGATCTAAGTGTGACCAGGACTGAAAACCTAGAACTAACGAAACAACCGTATAGTACTCTTCAATAAAGTACATCTATCTCGCACGCTGAAATCAAACCCAGGACCTTCGGTCTCGCGTATGGTCGCGTAATCTCTAAACCAATGAGTCTACATCCAATAGTGTTAATGTCTGACTGAATAAATCCACGATTTTGGGCGACCATTATTGACAGAAACCAAAGTATGAATACCAAGTAAATTGTAATCTTCCAAACATGTACTAACGATCAAGGTTGAATAAGAATTACCAAAAATCGAAACTAAACTGTTCAGAAATCGATACACTTGGTTAAATGTTAAAGTCATGAATGTAAAAATCAGTCACTTTATTTATTTAAACACATAAACAATGATGTAAAGGTCATCAAAAGATGTATGCGCAACGCAAGTCACTGAATTCATACGTGGGTTAGGATACTTCCCGGGTGCCAAAACTGAAGCAGTTAGTTTTCTTAGAGGGCAAGTCTCAGAGCATTTGACTAAAAAGTCTAATCTGCAAGGCAATGGGGCAACGTTAGTTGATGCGGTTCCATGGTACCTAGTGACCAATCATAGGTTCATACGCCGTTTGTTCCTTTAGGAACATGAACCCAATGTGCACCATTGAGTTGAAATTCGGGTTTTCCAACCGATTGTGTTGGGTTTTCGAGGGTGGTGGGACTTACGATGAAACGACATAAAAATTTCTAGATAAAACAAGCTTTTGATAACTTAAAATTTCGCAAAAACAAAAACAAAATCCGAACAAAAATAAGGAATTTTGGGAAAGCACATTAATTTGATTTTTATCAAATGAACTTAAAACGGTGTAATTTATATGCCAAACTCCCGAGTAGGATGGGAATGTCTATGAGAATCGCACTGTAACCTGTGTCTGGTTCTTGTCGGGGACAAAACGTGTAAGGATATAAAATACAAATATACGCAAGGCGAAATTCACGTATTGTATGTTTAGTCCAAGCATTCTGTCAAAACCCGTTGTGCAAGTAATCTGTGTAATTGAGCCACAAACCAGAATTACTGACATTCTGATAAGCCGCATGATTCCGGACCGATTGAGTACTGTTTTAAGGCCATACGGTATAGACAAACCTTTGTAGCTAAGTGAATTATTTTACCAAGCTTCATCTAGTTCATGCTAACAGTATGGGAATTTATGTGGATGATCTATAAATATATTCACTCGGCCATCAGAGTAAAGTTTTTTAAATATTCTTTATCTTTTTGCTGTAACCCAAGTGATTGGGTCAGTTGCTAGGAAGAGTGTGATTTTGACTGAAATGAATTGGTCGATCATCACAAACCTGGACTTCAATATATAAAAACTAAAAGTATACCTCTAACATAATTTGAATTTTGAAATGACATCAAGTAATATTAGATTTTTCGGTCTTTACACTGTATTATCATATTTACAGTATTTCGTTTAAAACAAACAATCAAATTATTTAATATGACATGGATATGTTTGTAGGGAAACTGAATTTTAAAATATCCGTGTTACTAGATACAAAATTGATCAAACCACTGAAGACAAAGAAGTTTATGACATATTAATTACTAGTCAGAAAGTTAAGTCAGTCAGTCAGCTACGACCTAGGACCAGGCACATATATGCATCGGTCCAAATTGCCATACCTCATTAACACAACAAGATGAACATCGGATTGATAAAAGTAGTTAATTCAGTGGTTGTAATATATAAAAGAAAGATTGCATATAAGGATATAGTACAGGAAGAAAGAATTAGTTCGTAGAAAGAAAGATATGAAACGATTTTAATCTCATAGTTTGAGAGAAGACAGAGAGTGTATACACCTACGTCATAGCGACCGATTCTGAACCATGTCACCAAGAGTCTCCAGCCATTGGTTACAATAATCACGCGGACCTCAACCAAGTAGTCTGCATCTACCATTATGGCTAAGAATAGAAGTTAGTGACTTTATGGACTGATGCCATGTTTTGGTTTGGCCGCCCTTAACTTTATTCCAGCCATCCCCCCAACACTAGTCAGCATTGCGCGTAGTGGTGATCGGAGTTCAAGAATACGTAACACGTGACCTAACCAACTCAGTCGATGAAAATTCACAACCTCATCAACTGATTAACCAAGTTAATTCGGGAAAGAGAATCTTTAGATACACTGAGATGAAGTTCAATATACAGGAATTACAACCCTATATAGTAACTGATAGACTCCTGAACTATTCATTAGCACTCACATGTTTAAACTATTATAAACAATTAACTAGACATATTTAAAAATATAGGTCTTATGGCCGATATACTGTATCGAAATTTCATTCTAACTAAACAATAAAGATCAGTCATAATAAGTGACGGAATGTGAAAATCAAATTCAGTATATGACAGACATCAAATCACATCAAAGAAAGAATTTGATGGTTTATAGAAATGAAAGATTATTTTCAAGATGAATGATTGTGGGGTACGAATTATAAGATGTGGTTTAATAATAGACAAGTTAGTTGTGCTGATGAAAGTGTAAGGAGAACTAACAACATGTCCATTTACCAGTTAAGATAAATGAGTTTATTGATCAGTTTATCAATTTTCACGTCAACAAGTTGATCCAAATGAAAGAACGACAGCATTTACAATCTTCAGAAAAACAATGTTTCATTCAATTCGAACAACAATTAATGACTCCATTACCAGGTATACATTCATGGGCTGTGCTTTAAGCTACATTGTATCTATAAGAGCTTTGTGATACTATCCAGCTGATCAAACCGAATGGGGCGGAGCAAAACTCAAACTTTAGAAATATTAATGGAAAGTCGAGCGATTTAGCCTCTAAGTCACTGCTTCAGTGAATGTACACAATTCATTTAATACGACATGTTAGTCTACATTGGAAGATTTCACAATAAAATATAGAACAATTGGACGAATTCCTGGCCATTAAATACTAAATTTGTAAGGATTCAGAAAATACGGAAAAAGATGCTTTTACAACGGTGGTCTATCAAACTAAAAACACAGTGTACATGATATCGAGTTACTTGAACTGGTTGTTGTCCTGAAGAACGTCAATTACTTACTTACGCTTTTTACCCCTCATGGAGGATTATGGGCTTCCCACCAGCATTCTCTATCCAACTATGTCTTGGGCAATCTTTCGCAGGTTTTTCCAATTGCTATTCTTCCGTTTAATATCTGCTTCCAATCCCCTAAACAGTGTGTTCTTTAGACTTCCTATTTTCCGTTTCTATTCAGGATTCCAAGTTAAAGCTTGCCTCGTGATTCAGTTCAATGATTTCTGCAATATGTGTCTTGTCCACTTCCAGTGTCTTTTTCTAATTTCCTCTTCAATTGAAAGTTGATTTGTTCTCTGCCACAGTAGGTCATTGCTGATGGTATCCGATCAACGTATCTTGAGTAGACAACTGTTTATAAATATTCGTACCTTTTGATGGTGGCTGTAGTATTCCTCGAAGCTTCAGCTCCGTACAGTAGAACTGTTTTGATGATCGTATTGAAGATCCTAACTTTGATATTGTCTGACAGATAATTATTTTGAGCTTCATATGTCCTTCAACAGTGGGAATGCTGTCCAACCCAAATAATTCAGTAGTAACATTTTTGAATCTAGCACCACATCGGTCTAATTTTTACACGAAGTATCAGTTTCTTCGAGATTACAGATATGCCTTGCTGACAAGTATCAACTAGTAAGAAACTTAAGTATAATGCATCCATTCATCTAACGCCACTCAGTAAATCAGTAAACTTTATTCAGTAGTAAAACTCATTATACACATATAAATTAGTTCAATTAAAGAGTAATCGGAGAATACGTATTACAATTAATGATTAAAACAATGAAAAACCATATTGTTTATATTAGCCAGAACAAATGAAAAAAAATAATCATACCCTTCGTGTACTGATAGAGAATTCACGATCACAACCGAAACATGTTAAAGCTTCATCATCTTTAGTCCATTGGCGATTAGTTAAACGATCGCGTAAAACCTAGTGAAATTTAGAAGTAATAGTTTGAATTATTATTATTAATAGAAGGGTTTTTTGTGAATATTATAATAATTTTAATAGTTGAGATCATGAGTCAATTGAACTCCTTCTGATGTTAATCAACATATGATCACTAGTGACTGGCTGCAATAGGTATTTACTGGAGTTCTAGTGAGAAGCCATGACCAGTGGAGTTCAACCGGCTTTGTTATGAAATAGTAACTCACTGATGACAATGATGGACGGTGGCACAACTTCGTGGATTGATTGAAGTTAGAAATTAACACTGTTGGATGCCGACCAGCTCAGTGGTCTAGAGGTTAAGCTTTCGCGCGCGAGACTGATAGATCCTGAGTTCGAGTCTGGCGAGGAGGGATCGTGAATGCGCAGTGCTGAAGAGTCTCACAATAGGACGAAACACTAACACCGTCGTATGCCGATCCAGTGGTCTATAGGTCAAATGTTCACGCGTGAGACCAAGGGTCCTGGGTTCTAGTCTTGTGTGTGAGATGGTTGATGAGCACGGCTGAGGAGTCCCATACTAGATTGAAACAGCCATCAAATGCTTTCAGGTTTTCCATGGTGGTCTAATTCAATGAACTTATGATCTCAACTATTAAGGTTATTAATATTACCTGAAGTATTTGATTTTCTCTACCTAATTCAACAACAGCTATTTGTAATTCTTTAAGTTCTTTCAATTTAGAATTTAATTCATTTCGAAGATTTGAACTTGCATCTTCAGCTTTAATTAATCTGTAAATAATTAATGATTAAAGAAGAAAAACAACAACTCATAAACAAACTGTTATGTTTTGTAAGCTTGAAATATATGGAATGAATAAAACACACAGAGTTATATAAGTAGACTAGTAATGTTGTAATTTTAGTAAAAAAAAGTCTGATTAAAGCAAAATTCTCTTCATGTAAACCACTCCCATATATCCACTGAACGTTTTCAGCGTAAATATTAACGGAGGAATAGACTGTAGTAAGTAATGCTCATAATAGACAAAGCTATCAAATGAGTAATGATAGTAGTACACGTTGAATATCAGGTAAATATGAAAGATTAATTGATGAGATCGGGAGTGTTTATCAGTCGATAAAGTCGAAATAACCGCCGCATATCTGTTGTCACTATCTACACCTCTATAAGTTATTCTGCTTGGTAGCGTAGGTCTATATTAAACATAGACAACAGTCGTTAACATAAACTATCAAATAAACATATAAAGTGATCAACTTTCAATTATAACCTTGTGAACAAGTGGATGTATACTAGTTATGATTTATTAGATTACTGTAAGACAATAAGTGTAAACTTTCTAATCAATTTCAATGTTATAATTTATATGTATGTGGTGTGTACTATCGATGTCGACAGATATAAGTAGTATGTATCATCAATTGAAAGGGGAATGCCTGGTGGCAGAAGGTTGAAGAAAATTGAAGAGAACGAGAACAGAACGTGATTGGCATAGAAATGAAGGAACAATAAGATTTGAGACAACTGATGGGTATTTTGCAAATGAAGTATTTACTGTATGGTTCTTAGATTTCACCAATATATTCTGTAACGTTGTACTCAAATATATTTGATTGTCCCCATTCGTGTTCTCGTTCACTACACTATAAACAATAACCATATTTGAATTCACCTGGTATTGTTTGGCTTGTATCTTCCCATTGAGGTTTAAGACTGCAATTGATTAGTCTGTTATTGGCATATGTGCATACTGTGAGTATGCCTCGATATTACCTTAATTCACAAGCTATTTGTAAGCAATGATGGACAGTGGCTAGCAGTGGAATCCAGGACGCGCGTTTCGTCCTATTTGGGACTCGTCGGCTGGATGTACCTGCATCTCAGAGTTGATGTTCACTGTGGGACTCGGACCCAGTACCATTCGCTTCAAACGCCATCGCGTTATCCACTCAGCTACTGAGTCCTGATAGTCACCATATTTTGTGCCAGGAAACATAACATTGATTAAAACCTACTTTTCCATGAGAGAATCAATTTCTTTCTTGGATAATTTTGATTCGGCTATAAATTAGAAAGAATAAAAGTAAGGAAACAAGTTAGTCATAATCAATATTAGAATCTGGGAAAAATATACGCGTGAACTTAAATTGTTTTGTTACCGCACATCAGAACGATATCATGAATGGCAAACGAGTTGAAATAATAGTAATAACAATGATACCAGGAAAGACGGAATCCTTTCTTCTAGATTATATGTATTATATTTATATTTCCATTACTATTTAGCTTTCACTATTTGTGTTTCGTTGTTTTATTAATCTCCTCATTTGTTTTCTTTTTTTTCGTTCGTCCACGACTTGTACTGATGTAAGATATGACAATTTCGACCTACACATATTTATTTGAAGTCCTATGTTATCTATAGATGATTGGTGAAATTCTTCTTCCAGCCTCGAGGGATTTATCACTAAGTGACATGGAATAAGACAACTTATTTAGTAATCAATAATCTTCGATTATTTTCTTGTTGTTGTTGTTGACCAACATCAAATTTTATAAAGAAAAGTGTACCTTCAAGATATTCAATATAAAAACATTATTGGTGTTGTTATGTCTCGACAAGAACAATGAATGGCAACTCTTGGGATCTATTGATGGACCAATACTAAACGTATATTTCTATTGTATAATTATTAAGTAACTAAACTATGCATATTCATATTCCTCTTATTATAAGCTTTATTTCGACCCATATACTATTATTATACGTTTTACCATTCTTGAGTTATACCCAGTATATTAATTACTACCTCCCTCATTCACAACCACATTTGGCTAATTCTTGTACAAATGTTGTTTCATATTTTGTTGGTACGTTGTGGTCTATTTGATTGGTATATAAACTCAATATGTTTGAAATATAATGATCAATATCACAGAGGCTGAGACTTGTGTTCTGGATTTAACTGACTGGTCTAGGCGGAAAGCAGGGCCAATCAAGACTCTAGACTGCTCGCGCGTGTTTTACGCGTCCTTGGTTCGATCGATAAGTCACTGCCTTCTAATCGGCGGTCACAAGTTATGAATATGAGAAATAATTCTTGAATAAATTAATTCAATAGAGAGTGAATATGTAAATGTATAGCACAAAATGTACGTTATAGTATAGTAGATTAGATGAAAATAAAACAAGATTTTTCACAGAGCTTATTTTTTTGTTAAAAATCGAGTATTCTAAAATTGTACTCATTAGAAAACCAGTTATGCAATATTATGATGTGATCTGCTTTTCATCACATAAAGAATCAGGTATAATATAATGTGAGAATAATGATCATTATATGATATGCTTTACGTAAGTATTGATGTTTCAATTTATGATGTGATTAGTCTTTAAAGGTTGGTTTTCGGTATAGGGATGTCCTTAAGGGACCATGTATCTGAGTCCAGTTGGATTGTTCGCTGAATGTCATAGAAATATATATCCTGGCTACCCTCGTATATAATCGTCCGCTCAAATCGAGTTAGTGAATAACGAAATTAGAATAAGTCAAATGTGAGAATGAAGTTTGAATACATATATTTCATACAATTGTTGATCCAAACAGACGATTAGAGAGACGAAGCGCAACGGACCGGGGGAGGTATGTGAGCCAACTTAATTTGATAAAGAGGAACTCCATTTTTATATTCAGACAAAAATAAATTACAGACACATGATGAATAAGGTAAGTAATTGGCACACATACGAGCATATAAAAACAAACAGAGTTAACAAGAGAATAAGTGACAAGGTTAAAAGGTAAGAATGAAAAAAATTGCTCGATTCAGGAGCTAGAATAACCTATGTGGGCTCGACATAGTACCAGCCACTATAGTTCACAGTCATTCATTAATTATATAACTACATATGTTGTTTAACCATGCTTGCGTTTTGGAGATAGTGTAAATTATTACAGAAATAGAATGATAACTTGATAGTTAAAGTAACCAGATTTTAAACAATAGGTCAGAGGTCCGAATCCTACTCCATTTACATCAATTTAGGTAGTCAGAATGGGTTACTAGCCTTCACATAAATAATGTATCTCAAAGCTCAGTACATAAAACTAGCAATTACTAAGTAAACTACTGTTGTAAAAGACTAGTTTTCTACCTCTTATTGCGCATAACTTCCTTATATATCGTCAATTTGTATTAGGCTCGTATAAATCGTGAAATAAGTCATCAGTCTCTATCATATTAAGTATTCTATTCAGCTACTGATAGATGAAAGATGTAATTTCCTTGCATACGCAATGAACACAAAAACTAAAGTACTAATATAGTTGTCATTATCAATAGGATTCTGACAACCATGCTTAATCACACTTTAACTAACAAAATTTGGCATTTCATGGTGTTTATATTCGCTTTAAACCTTAAATAGTATACCAAGAAGCTAGAATCAGAATGATGTAAAGACCTTAGTGAAGAACATAATGTGCAAAACTTTTCCAAGATATTTTGAATAAGAGAAACGGGAATGATGATAAATATGAAAAGGTTAAGAGTGATTTACTTAAGATATTGTGAAATAAACTTATGACATCAGTTGGCACATTTTTGGACAAAGTAGTATTTGACAGAAAGAAATAATGTACAATTTAGTTACCAATCGGAAACCGAGAAAAACACAACAACTTTACATTCACTTTCATGCTTAAAAAATGATAAAAACTCATGTTTGATTACTTTGTGACTCGGAACGAATACTTTCAAGATTCTTCTCTAAACTAATTAATTTCTCTTGACAGATTTGATTTGATTTTACAGCATCATCAGCTTCAATTTGAAGTTGATGACATTTTGCTTGAAGAGTAGAATTTAAATTTGTTGATTCGGTCAATTCATCAGTTAGTCGATTCTGTAATGGAAGAAACATATATTTTATAATCTAATAGTTTTTTTAATGCAAAGTTTAAGGAATTTTCAATACAAACATCAAGACAGTTCTACTGTACGGAGCTAAAACTTGGAGAACTACTACAATCATCATCACAAAAGTACAGGTATTTATAAACAGTTGTTTACGCAAGATATTCTATGTCCGTTGGTCGGATACCATCAGTAACGATCTACTATGGCATAGAACAAGCCAGCTTCCAGGTGAAGTGGAAATTGGGAAAAGATGATGCGGGTGGATGGGGCATCACAAAGCCTGTCCTAAATTGAAATTCTCAAGGGGAAAGGAAAAGAGGCAGACCAAAGTAGATATTGCCGCCGAGAACTGAAGATAGAGATCAAAAAAATGAAAGGCACTCGGAAACAACCGTTAAAAGAGAGTAGAGGACGAAGTAGTCTGAAGGATCCTAATCGGCAGCTTATGTCCTATGAAGGGTTACAGGAGTAAGTATCACTCACAATGTTTAGTATTTGTCACAGATTGTCCATTAGTCTTCATTAACAACATGCACAAATGCAGTTGATAAATGGAGTTCAAATATAAAGGAAAAGAAACGCTTTGAAGGTGCCTTGACCACTGGTATGAATGTTTTAATTGTGAAGCTTTTATCGTTCCTCCAGACGTTATGAGCACATATTTCAAAGAAATAATGTTGCCTAGTGGAACAAATGAATGATTTAAGATTGAGACAATCAGACCAGAGGACATAAAATCTTCATCTTGAATTACAAATATTCCATATCATCTCAAAAAGAAATCCTGTTTATAATTCTCAGGTAAAATACTTGATCTAGTTAAATCCTTGAAAGTATAACTAATAATGACCTCAAAATTAGTTTCTGAGTTCTTTGCCATTTAAAGTAGAAAAAAATATCCACAGAAAGGAGCCTCACCGTGAACTAATCAAGAAGTTTGCAACATACTTTAGATTGTTGAATACTATATTGAACCAGATAATTTTGATCTTCATTATAAAACTAATAGATATGGAGGCTGACAACACCTTGAATGAACTCTTTAAACATATAGTATTAATTGAATTCTAGTCGTCACAATCGTAAACATCTTGAACGTGGACTTCAAGTTCCTAAGGGAACAAATGGCCCATGAACCTATTGTTGGTCATCGGCTACCATTGGACTGCATCTCCTAACGTTGCTGCACTGACTTGTGGATGAGACCTCTAGGTCAAATACTCGAGGAGTAGTCCTCTAAAAAAATTAACTACTTCAATTTGGGCACCCGGGAAGTATTCCTAGCCCTCATGCAAATCGAATGATTTATAAGACGCATATATAGTGCAATGTTTATGTGTTTAAATAGATAAATAAGCACTACATATATATGATCTATGTCTATGGAGTCCTTCAATGAAAATGTTTAGACGCATATGACCTCAGGATTATTATATCATCTCTGGAATTTCGATTTACAATGTCCCATATAATATTCAGAAATAGTGTAAATATAAACGATTTGCAGTAAGAAGTCTATGAATTTGACGACTATGTTTGACGAATTTTCGGCTTGTAAATGTACAAATAAAAAAACAAATCATATGGAAACGTAATAAAACACAATTTAATCCCTATTTATATAAGATATACTTATGTCTAATATCATTACAAATCAATTTATCTGTAATAAACGACACAGTTGTCAACACGTTCATCAACACACATTGTTATAATTGACATCAGTAAAGCGTGTGTGTGTGAGGGAGAGAAAGGAGATTAACAACATGAAAGTAAAGCAATTGAAACCATTATATTACTGGCAGTATAAAAGCGAAAATATGAGATCAAGTCTAAACGCAAAAGTGTATGAAATACTATATGAATTCATGATTTAAAGGAAGATAAAGAAAAAAGACGTTTGGGTAAAAACAACTGATTTTGATGTCGCTTCGCTCGCCTGTTACTCCTCGTGAAGGAACATAGGCCGCTCAACAGCTTTCTCCATCCAACCCTGTCCTGGGCAATCCTTTCCAGCTCCTTCCAGTTCTTATTCATCCTTTTCACTTTTGCTTCTATTTCACGACGTAATGTGTTCTTTGGCCTTCCTCTTTTCCGCCTTCCTTCAGGATTCCAAGTCAGGGCTTGTCTCGTGATGCAGTTTGACGATTTGCGTAATGTATGTCCTATCCATTTCCATCGTCTTTTCTTAATTTCTTCTTCAGCTGGAAGCTGATTTATTCTCTCCCACAGAAGGCTGTCGTTGATGGTATCCGGCCAATGCATGTTGAATATCTTGCGTAGACAACTATTTATAAATACCTGCACTTTCCTGATGATGGTTGTAGTAGTTCTGGAAGTTTCAGCTTCATATAGTAGAACTGCCTTGACATTCGTATTAAAGATTCTCACTTTGATATTGGTTGAACGTTGTTTTGAGTTCCATATGTTCTTCAATTGTAGGAATGCGGCCCTTGCTTTGTCAATCCTCGCCTTTACGTCTGCATCTGATCCTCCTTGTTCATCGATGATGCTTCCCAGGTATGTGAAGGATTCTACATCTTCCAGAGTTTCGCCATCAAGAGTGATTGGATTGCTGTTATCCGTGTTGTATTTGAGGACCTTGATTTTCCCCTTGTGCATGCTGAGGCTTACTGATGTAGAGACTGCTGCACATCATTCAAAATCTCTAACTATAAATTATAATTATCATACAGACCCTAATAACTAGGAATTCAGAATCTAACAACATAGCTCAAATCAATAATTAGTGACTTTATGAATTGATGCCATGTCTTCATTAGCCCATTCCTATCTTACTTTCATTGTATTTTCATAATATCTAGCGTTGTATGCTATAATAGCTATTATCTCAGTAACAGTCAGTAACAACGTAGAACTTCGTACGTACGTACATCAGTTCGACTTGCCACACCACATTAGCACAGAGATGCAGTGGTCGATTCAAATCCCGTAGTGGTAAAGGTAATAAGAGTATAAGCAGTAATCGGGAAGATTAGGGTTTGGAGATGTTATTTAAAGAGTATAATCCGGTGAAAGAAATTTGGGAAGACGGAAAAAGGGACATGAAGAATTCAGAAGATTAGAATTTGGGAGAACACAGAGAGTGGATGCACCTGCGCCATTGCGAACGATTTTGAGCCATGTCATTCAGGGTCTCTAACCATCGGTTGCTGTCATCTCGCGGTCCCCAACCAGGTAGTCTACACCTACCAACATGACTCAGTTCACTTGTCAGTGACTTCATGGACTTGTGCCATGTTTTGGTCTGGCCGCCCCTAGCTTTCTTCCAACCTACTCCTATACCACTGAACATAGCACGTCGAGGCAGTCGGTCGTTGGGCATACGTAACACGTGTCCCAGCCATCTCAACTGATGAAGTTTCACTACTTCATCAATTGATTTGCCATCCTTACCTAGTACCCGTTTCCTGACAACTGCATTACTTACTCGATGGTCCCACGATATACGAGCAATGTTTCGAAGACACCTATGATCGAATACTAGTAACCTACGGATATCCTCTACTCTTACCGGCCATGTTTCACTGCCATAAAGAAGGACGGGATGAACTGCTGCGCAGTAAACACGTCCTTTGGTTGATAGACGGATATCTCGCCTACGCCATAAATGACGCAAGTTGGCAAAAGCTAGTCGAGCCTTCTGTATCCGTGCTGAGATTTCGTCACAAACCAAATCACAAGGGCTGATGAGACTTCCAAGATAAGTAAAGCGGTCGACACACTCAACTACTTCACTCCCTATCACTAGTTCGGGTGTCAATGCAACCCAATCCTGAAGCAACATTTTACATTTCGAGGGAGAGAATCGCATCCCGAACATGCTTGCATTGTTGCTTAGAGTGGTCAGAAGACTCTGCATTTTGTCAGCGTCTTCACCAAATAAAACTATGTCATCTGCATATTCTAAGTCAACAAGTGAACCTCCCGGTAGAAGTTCAACCCCTGGAAATTTAGATGAGGAGAGTGTTATCTCTAAAAGTACGTCAATGACAAAGTTGAACAAGAATGGGGATAGTGGACAACACTGACGAACACCTCTTGAGGTAATCGATTCTGATGATAGTTCGCCATAAGCTCTCACTCTACCAGTTGTGTTCGAGTAGAGAGCCTTTATAAGGTTAATGTACTTCTTTGGTACTCCTTTCAGTGACAAACACTGCCATAGAACCTCACGATCAACGGAGTCGAATGCCGCCTTAAGGTCGAGAAATACTACCATTGTGGGGCGTCTGAATGTGTGTCTCTGTTCTAGAACCTGACGTAGTGTGAATATCTGATCTATACAACCACGTCCAGGTCGAAAACCAGCCTGGTTTTCTCTAGTCTGTTCTTCACGAGCTTTAGTTAGGCGTCGAAGTATTATTGAGGCCAATATTTTAGACACTATATTAGTCAAACTGATTCCTCTGTGATTGTCACAAGAGGACTTTTGTCCTTTCTTAAAAACTGGCACAATCAGTGATTGAGACCAGTCAGATGGGATTACGTCCAGTTCCCAAATTCTACCTAAGACCTCAGTTAATCTTGCTGCTAATACTGGACCACCATCCTTAAAAATCTCAGGAGTAAACATGTCAGGGCCTGCTGCTCTCCCTCGTTTCAGATTTCTTATGGCTTTTTCAACTTCGTAAAGGGACGGAGGACTTACATTAACTTGCCATTCAGGTTGACTGGAGATCGTGGGAAACCGAAGTGTGGCTGAAGGCCAGTTGAACTGATCCCTAAAGTGTTCTGCCCATCGATCCAATCTCCTGGATTGAGAATGAATAATATGTCCATCTTTCTCTGAGATTGTTTCGCTAACGGTCGGTTTCCTAATTCCGGTTTCCTTAACGAGTCTAAACAATTGTCTGCTATTACCTATTGCCGCTGCCTTTTCCATCTCTCTTGCTTTCGCTACCCACCACTGTTCGCGATCATTGCGTAGACTTCTTGTCAGCTTGCGCTTAAGCTCACTCCGCTCTTCATTATGTTCAGAGCCAGGTGGAATGAGTTTTCGAGCATCTATCAGTGCGATAGATGCTGCTGAGATCCAGTGTTGCTCCCTAACTTTACGGTTTACCTTACTAGCAGATATCACTGCTGTTTCCACAGCTTTTCGGATATCGTTCCATGCTGCCTCGGGGTGGGCATCACATACATGGCTGCCTAACTCTTTTCCTAGTTGTTCCTGAAATATACTCTTAGCTTGACTATCATTAAGTAGGGCCCTAAGAGGTTTACTTGCAGGATCTTTCCTACGTCCAGTAAGACGCAAGCAAATACGCGCTCGCACTAGAGCATGATCTGAATCTAGGCATGTGCTCCAGAATGAGCGACAGTCTTCTATCGAGCCCCTCCATCGGTGGCTGATAGCGATGTGATCTATTTGGGTCCAACGTTGGGACGAATTAGGGGGTCGCCATGTTAAAAGATGTTTTTCCTTATGCTTAAAGTTAGTATTTGCAAGGAACAGGCGGTTATCTGAACATAGCTGCAACAGACGGTCGTCATTATCTGTTCTTTGAGCCACGACACCATAGGATACACCTAGGTGTCTTTCCTTATCGCTTAGTTTACCTACTTGAGCATTAAAGTCACCGGCCACTATTACTACATCCGAGCGCTTAGCTTTTCGGAGAAGGTCCGAAAGCTTTCTGTAAAACTCATCTTTTACATCATCTGAGCTGCAGTCAGTGGGAGAATAGGCAGAGACGACGAAGAGGCAACGACGAGTGTCCCTATCTTTCCGGATTCTTACTGTTCCGTTCAGTCGGACAGCGCACAAACGACTGTTTACTGGGATCCACTCTAAGAGAGCTAGTTCTGCCCTAGGACTCAATGCTATACCTACGCCGGCGAGGCCACGGGAAGCAGAATCAGGGCTTCCAGATACACGAAGCGTAAATCGAGTCGGTTGTTTATTTTGGCATGGTGAGGTCAAATGAATGACGCTACTCGGATCTTGTATGCGCGTTTCGGAGACGCAGCACACATCGATGGCGCGAGATTCTAAAGTCCTAGCTAAGGAAGCCTGTTGTCCTATTTGGCACAGTGTTCGTACGTTAAAAGCTCCTACGTGTAGTTTAGAGCGTGGTTTCAGGAGCCCAGGAATGGCGTTCCACGTACTCGAATCGTTTGCCCTAGCGGTGCGAGGTGATAAAGAGACGTGAGGAGGGTTAGTCGGGAGGATAAGAGAGGTATTAGGAGGTGTAGGAAGGATTTGAATGTGACCACCTTGGTCTCTTGTGCTGTTACGGGTATGAGGGCTGATGTCACTTCCCGGCTGCCCACACCGTGGAAGGGTATTTCTTGATGAACCTGAAAAGGAAATTGGATTAGTGTTGGTCTTGACGACCTGGGAGCGTGACCGCAGAGCCCAAGGGACAACTGCTTGAGGCCGGTCGCGCACGGCCTTTTTGTGGAAGGTTTTTGACGTGTTAGCTCCGTTCTTCAAGGGGCCTTACCGCCGGAGACGGAAATCCGTGAGGTAAGGTGAGGTGTGCATTTTTAGGGTCGACCTTTTCTAACCCCACCCCTCCTTGTGGGAAGGCAGCATCGCTGTCATGCTGGTTGTCCGAGGGAAACACCTTACTGCTGTCACACCTCTCTACAGTCAGCAGTACGACTTCGCCCTCAGACCTTGAGTTGCTGCTTTTAGTCTTACCGTTCGCCAATCGACCTGCCTGGCATGGTAGAACCTGCAGGAACATATGTTCCAGCCAATATAGCTCGGTTGGGTCATCACGATAGGCAAGCCCGACCACCGCGTCAAGGTAGCAGCTTTAACACATAATCTAGTCGCTTGACTTGATGAAAGATTACACTTTTATTAAATATTGTCTTATCGAATTGAGGATTATATCAAATACGGTCAATGAATCAAATGGATTTATGGTCATTGATTACAGCACTAAGTGATGCAAGTTAGATTTTCTGAGGAAGAAAAGCATTGATCATAGACGTCAACCAAACATAAAACCTGGTCAAACGAACTACTCTATCAATTGCCATCAACCACTAGGAAAAGTAAGCTGGTAGTATATTAGTCAAAGGAATTGAGTTTTAACCGTTACGTTACTGCTTCAAGCTCCGTCCTAATCAGATCATTTTTCTCAAGTGGTAAGCATCACTAGTTCCCACATAAAGTGTATATCAAGGATTTGCAATTCAAATTATACATTGTTACTAAACGGATTAAGCTCACAAATCCGTAAGCTGCAGGTTGAATACATCTAAAATAATGTTACCATGTGTAAATTACTCACAGTTGGAAAACAAAACCAAGCCCATATCGAAATACACTGATCTGTTCATTTTTAACAAGTCAGTGTTGTCGGATGGACTGAGAATACATGAGAGGTTCCAGTAAAATTATGTATTAGGGACGAGTTAATCATTATCGAGATTAGGACTTCTGAGTTCTTGTGAGAAATTCAGATATTATGCAGAATGATCAATAGAGAAACCTTTTAATACTGCTTAAAACGTTTGAAATGGTAGAGAAAAATGTTTTGAAGCCAAAAAAATAAAAATAATACTGTTAAATGTATCAAATGTCTAATTACGTTTCTTTAGATTGTATATAACAAATAAACTGACACCATACCAAAATCCTGACCATAAACCGTTTATCCTGACACAAATCTTAACCTGACGGCACTAAACTTCATGAACAAACTAACTGGATAGCACTTTTTGAATTTATGAGTAAAATTTTTTTCATCCATATGGCTGCAGAGTACTTTTGGATTATAGATTATATCACTTACTGATGAAATCCTAGTCTTAAACCCTTAATTCTAACCATAAATACTAAACCCTAACTAGGAATAATGTACAGACTCTTAAAAATCTGTTTTCGTTCCTTTAAAGGTTTGAGAATATGGAAAATGTATATTCAAAAGGACGAGTTTATACGTAGCAATATTTTCCATTGCACAGGCAGAGAGTAACCAGTAGAACAGATTAACAGATCTATATAGGGTTGTGGAGATTGATTGAGATAATGAACCGATTGATGCTAGATCACCATTGAAAACCTGGAAGCACTGGACGGCCGTTTCATCCTATTGTGCGACTCCTCACCAGTGCACATCCACAAACCCACCTACCTCCTGAGATTTCAACCCTGAACCTACCGGTCTCACGCACGAACGCCTAACCTCTAAACCACTGAGTTGGCATCCAACGGTGTTAATGTCTAACCTCAACCAATCCGCGAAATTTCGCGACCATCTTCCATTGTACTGAGGTATCTCTAACTGTCAATCGGTTCATGATCTCAATCAAAAACTTAATAATCTCCACAACTCTATAGTGATAATTATCATATACTCACTAGTAACTAGCTTCGTGAGGGAATTCTCAAAGTTCTAGTGAGAAGCCATGACCAGTGAAACTAATCCGTGTCAGGCAGAGACAAATATCTTACTTTCCTTTTCTCTTCATTTTAATTTCGAACTAGTTAACTGAAATGTCATAGCAACTATTTCTACATAAAATACTTGATCATATAATTGACTTACAATATTATTTTCATATTGTTTTTGTTTAATATCTAATTCACTTTTAATTGTTTTCAATTCAGATTGTATATTCTCGTTTGAATGGATAAGTATAGATGAATCTTCAGTAAGTTTTTTATTTGTTAATTTTAACTCTTTTAATTGTCTTTCAAGAATTGATAATTGAGTAGAACGATTTGTTAATTCAATTTCATATTTATTTAGTTCATCTTTTTTAGAATCATTAAATTCATTGAATTTAATAGTGATATTATTCAATTCATGTTTCACTGATGATAATTCTGTCTATAAATTAAAGGAAATAAAGATAAATAAATAAGTAGTGATAGATATTATTTGGTAATCTATTGGGGTTTCCCCGTGTGCGTTCGAATCCCATCCTCGTAGCCAGATGTTATATCTTGAATGTTTATTTCATGATATACCGCGTATAACAGAGCAGCACTAGAACACCAAAACCCTTCCAAGTCGCAATAAAAAGACAGGAGACTGATGAAAGGAATATTATTCCGAATAGTGTCAATTATAGTACAAAATTGTCAGGTATTTATAGTTTTAAGTAAGAACGAAATCATCATTGCAGTCCTCTAATCCGCATACAGAGGGCTATTAGCATTGTCCGATCGGGAAGCTACACGTAGGAATTCAAGAATATTCTTCCGAAAGGTGATTGGATGGAACATCTTCGGCTCCTTCTGAGCCTCTTACACCTTCCTCGAGTTCACCCGTGGTCCGTCGTCACATTATCATACAAAGGTAATGTAAACTGTTGATGGAGTTTTGTTCTTTAAGCTAGATGGTTTAGTTGTGGAGCTTTCATTATTCTTCTGAACAATATCATTAGTACAAACTTCAAGGAGAAGTACTCTATCAAAATCATCTACCTGAGCTATAAATCTTCTCTACCATTTCGAAATGACAATTTATCAATAACTGGACAGTGTATATAGGATAGGTATTATCAATGTCAAAGTTGGATTCAGTAGTTTTAAATAAATTAAGTATTGCGTTAATTTAATTCGATTACTTATTTACTCTGAAGAAGTGACCTACACTAGGTTACGAAACTCCAGAAATACAATTTTTCCACTCATTAGTATATAACCAAATATATATTTATTATCAGGAGGGTTTTTGTGGATATTATAATAATTTCAATGGTTGAGATCATGAGTCAATTGATGCTAGACCACTACCATAAAAAACTGGAAGCACTGGAAGGTCGTTTCAATATGGTACGGGACTTCTCAGCAGTGAGCATTCACGACCCCGCCTCGCCAGACTCGAACTCAGGATCTATCAGTCTCGCGCACGAACACTTAACCTCTAGACCACTGAGCTGGCCGGCATCCAACAGTGTTAATGTCTAACTTCAACCAATCCACGAAGTTGCGCCACTGTCATCAGTGAGTTACTATTTCATAATAGACCCGGTTGAACTTCACTGGTCATGGCCTCTCACTAGAACTCCAGGAAATACCTCTTGGAGACCGTCACTAGTGAGCATATGATGATGACTGTCCAGTGCTTCTAGGTTTTCCATGGTGATCTAGCTTTAAGTTACTCATGAATCCAGCTGGAAAAACAATGGGATGACGTATTTTTATGTCAAATTTAATGTTGCTCATAAGAGCATAAATTGGGTACATGATTTCCTTATTTTTCAATTAAAACTGTACTAACATAGTTCATTGTAGATTGATAGAAAAAAACACCATGATATGGGAATCTTCTAGATATTCTCAGAATAGATCTACCTAGTTTGAATTGATTTCGGACAATTCCATTTGAAGAGTCCTTATGCCTATGATTGAAGTTTGATAAATAATAGAAGTTTTCATACCTTTACAACGAGAATATTACATCATACTAGTTGGATAAGTGTGATAGTTATCATGACTATATAGTCTGATATTCAATAGGAATATTTGTGGTGGCTCGGCTTCGATATAATTCCTTAGGCTTCATATATCAATCATTCCAATAATTATGTTTTTTTAATTCCAGCGCCTTATGAATTCAGAAGGCAACACTAGGAATTAACTACAGTTTATTGGATAGAGCAGATTACAAAGTTATAAGCATACCAAACGAATTTGAGCAGAAAAGCTTATACGTTCGAGCGAGCGAATAAAGAGGTGAACTCCGAGTCAAATAAATTAATAAGATTAAACTCATATATATGGCAAAGCAAATGATTCATCAAGTGACTTTAAGTAGCTGACATTTAGTCTAGAGAGAGGGGTATGTACATAGGCGGTCACTTGTGTTTAAACGTACATACTCACACAGATATGATAATAATAATACCAAGATATACAAATTATAACTGTTCGAATAACACTGTTAAATATTTTAACTGAAGTGCTTGACAAGATTCATCGTAAACAAACTTAAGTGTGGGGGAGGTGCTATACATTACCACTGTGATTAATATACATCCACTCAACTCACGAAACGAGAATCTTAGATTCCATTGTTAGCCACCGTTTAAAATAGACGAATGAATTATATCTTACGATTTTTAAGTAGACATTCATGATTATTTACACAATCAATTTCTTCGCTTAAGAATTAGCCAGATTACTACTATTATTATTATCATCATCATTATTTATGACTTGATTTGACATTATATTTTTGGTACAATAGAGAATTCTCAGTACACGGTATTTCAACAAGTTCCCGTTTTTATTTGATAGTCCTGGGTTCGAACCCCGCGGGGTAGGGTCATGGATGCGCACTGATGAGGAGTCCCACAGTAGGACGAAACGGCCGCCCAGTGCTTTCAGGTTTTCCATGGTGGTGTAGCTTCAATTGACTCATGATGTCAACTGCTAAAATTATTTATTAATTACTTTTTAAGAACAATAGTAATGATAATCTTACTTTTAAAGCATTATTTTCAGATGAGAGAGATTTTAATTTTTCTTCTGATGACAAACTATCCTCAGTCAACAGATTTGTTGTATTTCCAGGTAGGTTGTTCTCTGTTAATCCCTAAGGGAAATTGAATAATAATAATAATAATAATAATAATAATAATAATAATAGTAATAATAATAATAATAATAGTAATAATAATAATAAAAGTATAGTATAGATGGATTCAATTTGTCACGATTTCTGATGTGAAAAAGTATAGAAGTAATTCTTATAGCTAACGTATGAAGGTAGTCTTATTGATAAGTCCTCTAATTGAACGTTAGATTCGGTTCCTAAGCTATTCTCGTAACCCCCAGGCTAAATATACACAGCGATTTGGACACGAGAGAAAAGGTACAAAATACGGAAGAAAATGCTTTACTCCAAAGGTTCGCTTATGTACAGGAAATCTAGGGTTTTTATAGTATTTTAGATGTCCTTGGGTTTCCCGAAAATTCTGGAACGCTACTAAACATAGTAGCAGTATAGATAATCATCCAATCAGAAACTCGATATGTGACTTTTCACTTTTTAGCTGTTTCTGGCATAACTTTTACTGAATACTGATTGAATAAAATGCTGCTCAGTATTTTCAGAGCGATTCTTGGCTTTTTTCGGGGAGTTTTCTGGATTCCCCCAACATTTATATTAACTGAAAAATCAATGAATGGAAGAAACAAACAATTGTTTTATTTTAATTGATTATAGCTGATGTTGATCTACGATTAGAATTATTTCCAACCGAAATCATGAACCGATCTAAGTAAGACCATTACTGAAAATTTGGAAGCACTGAATGGCCGATTTATTCTAGTATGGAACTCCTTAGTAGTGAGTATCCATGATTCCAGAAGTGAGAATTGATACCAGGACCTTCGGTCCCAAGAGAACACTTCATCTCTAAACCAATGAGTCGGTATCCAATGGTTTTAATATTTAACTTCAATCTATTCATCACCATATTGAGCGAGCAACTTCCATTTTCTTCAGCGAATAACTGCCTCACACCACACAAGGATTAACTCTACTGATCGAGGTTTCTTACTGGAACTCTGGGAATTTCCTCTCGAAGCTATTCACCAGTGAGCACATGATAACTGTCAGTATTTCCATCAAAATCATGAAACGTCGATTGCTTTCAGGTTTTCAATGGTGATCTTTTAGTGGCCCGGGATCTGACTCCAGTTAGACAGGATAAATGATCGTTATTGAATGATTGCTGTCGAAGTATATATGTCGTCATTCCTCGTATGAAATTATCGACTTAAATCGCGTTAGTGAATAACGGAATTAAATGAGTTATATTTTATATACTCATCAATCTGGGCAGACAATCAGACAGATGAAGTGAAGAGTAAAGAAAGAAGCGAAATGACGAGTAGTGGAGTGGTAATATTTCTCGACCTTAAGGTGGCATTCGACTCTGTCGATCGTGAGGTTCTATGGCAGTGTTTGTCACTGAAAGGAGTACCAAAGAACTACATTAACCTTATAAAGGCTCTCTACTCGAACACAACTGGTAGAGTGAGAGCTTATGGCGAACTGTCATCAGAATTCATTACCTCAAGTGGTGTTCGTCAGGGCTGTCCACTCTCCCCATTCTTGTTCAACTTTGTGGTCGACGTACTTTTAGAGATAACACTCTCCTCATCTAAATTTCCAGGGGTTAAACTTGTACCGGGAGGTTCACTTGTTGACTTAGAATATGCAGATGACATAGTTTTATTTGGTGAAGACGCTGACAAAATTCAGAGTCTTCTGACCACTCTAAGCAACAATGCAAGCATGTTTGGAATGCGATTCTCTCCCTCGAAATGCAAAATGTTGCTTCAGGATTGGGTTACATCGACACCCGAACTAGTGATAGGGAGTGAAGTAGTTGAGTGTGTCGACCGCTTCACTTATCTTGGAAGTCTCATCAGCCCTTGTGGTTTAGTGTGTGACGAAATCTCAGCACGGATACAGAAGGCTCGACTAGCTTTTGCCAACTTGCGTCATTTATGGCGTAGGCGAGATATCCGTCTATCAACCAAAGGACGTGTTTACTGCGCAGCAGTTCATCCCGTCCTTCTTTATGGCAGTGAAACATGGCCGGTTAGAGTAGAGGATATTCGTAGGTTACTAGTATTCGATCATAGGTGTCTTCGAAACATTGCTCGTATATCATGGGACCATCGAGTAAGTAACACAGTTGTTAGGAAACGGGTACTAGGTAAGGATGGCAAATCAATTGATGAAGTAGTGAAACTTCATCAGTTGAGGTGGCTGGGACACGTGTTACGTATGCCCAACGACCGACTACCTCGACGTGCTATGTTCAGTGGTATAGGAGTAGGTTGGAAGAAAGCTAGGGGCGGCCAAACCAAAACATGGCACAAGTCCATGAAGTCACTGACAAGTGGACTGAGTCATGTTGGTAGGTGTAGACTACCTGGTTGGGGTCCACGAGATGATAGCAACCGATGGTTAGAGACCTTGAATGACATGGCTCAAAATCGTTTGCAATGGCGCAGGTGCATCTACTCTCTGTGTTCTCCCAAATTCTAATCTTCTGAATTCTTCATGTCCCTTTTTTCCTCTTTCCAAATTTATTTCACTGGATTATACTCTTTAAATAACATCTCCAAACCCTAATCTTCCCGATTACTGCTTATACTCTTATTACCTCTACCACTACGGGATTTGAATCGACAACTGCATCTCTGTGCTAAGGTGGTGTGGCAACTCGAACTGATGTACGTACGTACGAAGTTCTACGTTGTTACTGACTGACTGACTGACTGACTGACTGACTGACTGACTGGAGGTGGAATGTGAGTCGACACTGTTTAATCAAGCGTTAATCAATATTTATAGCCAGATAAAAATAAGCTACAGACGTGTGATGAGCAGAATAAAAAATATACCCACATACGCTTATATAAAAAATAGTCAGGATTATTAAGCGAATAAGTGACAAGGTAAAAATGTGGTTTGAAAATAATAGATAAGTTGGTTTGTCCAGAATCCGGAATAAGTTATGTGGGCTCGATAAAGGACTAGCCACTACAATCTGACTTAGAACGGATCATGATTTCAATGAAATTTAACTATCTCCGCAACCCTTTAATTGACAGTCATTTTCAAATCAAAATAATCTACACAAACTACTTGGGTAAAATAAATGTTGAATACCAGGATAGCCTAGGAGACCATGGTTATCATAACCAAAAATGCTATTTTTGATTCAGGTGTGATGTATGTTACTTATGTCGACAGACGTAAGTAGTATTTTGATATCCCAATGAGTAGAAAATTGTATTTCTGACGAATTGTGCCTCAATGAAGTTACATTTTTATTTACTCTAAGTTGACTTACATTAAGGTCCAACACGTCAGAAATACGATTTTCTACTCATTGGGATATCACAAAAAAATATACTTAATATTAACCGTCTACCCAACGCTCAGTTTATTAGAAACTATTAAGTTCATCCTTGACATCGACATAAAAATTTAGTCAGCATTCACTCTATTTCGCTATTTCCTAATCAACTTATATTATTTTAGGTATTAAGCATGTATATTTGATAAAAAAAACATTAACCACGAATGCCATGGTATGGTCGAGGGTGGGGAAAGTCAGCTCTCTCCAAATGCTCTGACATGGCCACGAGTATACAGCCACTGTGAGGAAAGTCCTTACTTACTTACTTACTTACGCCTGTTACTCCCAATGGAGCATAGGCCGCTGACCAGCATTCTCCAACCCACTCTGTCCTGAGCCTTCTTTTCTAGTTCCATCCAATTCTTGTTCATTCTTCTCATGTCTATCTCCATTTCTCGGCGTAATGTGTTCTTTGGTCTTCCTCTTTTCCTTTGACCTTCAGGATTCCAAGTGAGGGCTTGTCTTGTGACGCAGTTGGGTGCTTTCCTCAATGTGTGTCCTATCCACTTCCAGCGCTTCTTCCTGATTTCTTCCTCCACTGGGATCTGGTTTGTTCTCTCCCACAGTACGTTGTTGCTAATAGTGGAGGAAAGTCCTACTCACTGCCTTATCGCGGCGGGAGTGTTTCTTAAGAAATTGAGAGGATGAAAATCAAATGTCCGGCGCTTTAACCGGGTTGATGGACACGAAGGGTCCACATAGGAGAGTTGGAAAACCCTGATTCCAAACCAATAATGCACGTGGGCTCCAGGATCTTGAGGGAACAAATGGATTATGAACCTATTGTTGGTCACCGGCTACCATGGGACTGCATCTCCTGATGTCGCTCCACTTCCTTGTGGACTAAATCTTTAGATCAAAAGCTCTTGGAGTAGCCCCCTAGGGAAACCACCTGCTTCGGTTTGAGCACCCGAGCAGTCTTCCAGCACCTCACACAAATCGAATGATTTATGTGGTGCATATGTATTTGGTACCTCCATGTACCAGAGTTTATGTTCAAATAAATAATAAAACTTATTGAAAGAAAGAATCTGAAGAAACACTATTCTTACCTCTGAAACATATTGTGATTGAACACTTCTAGTGTCAATATAAGTGTAAGTGCTTACATCTGTCTTCATAATCTCTTCCTATAATTGAACAGAATAAAAATGAATACAATATGTTGATTCATTTAAAATTGATATAATTCACTTTGATTTGGAGTTCATCTAGTTGTTTTTTTAACAAATTAATTGTTTCATCCTTCTCCTTTAGATCTTCTTCAGCTGGCTGAAATATGGAAAACAAATGATGAAACTTGAATGCATCATGTACTTATGCTGAAGATAACAAATAAAGCTTTTCTTATTTGTGAGCCTGTTGTTTCAAGACTGAAATATTATTATTAATAATAATAATAGCAGCAATAGTGGTAATAATAAAGCCAGTATTATTTTGTTCGCCTTATTTTTTCTTATTACGGATAATATTAAAACAGCTGTGGTTTGAATTTATTATTCACAGCCTCCTCCTACAGTAATCAACAATTTCCAGCTTCCACTTCCCAAATATCTCGGCAAATATCAATTATTTTGAAAATGGCATAATCGTATAGTGTTGTTGAAAGAGTCGAGGACATTCCATGCAATCATCGTTTGGAAGAATATTCCATAATCTCGATGGGTAGCTTGCCGATTGGACAAATGAGAAAAAACACTGAATGAAGACTGGATGACTGTAATGATGAATTCGTTATTATCAAAATCCATAAATACCTGAGTGTCTTGTACCATATTTGACAATGTTTGGAATAAGGTCCCTTCCCACTCGTCTTCTGTCTCCTAACTTGCGACTTGGAGGGTTCTAGCGTTCGAATGCTAAAGTTGTATGCGGTATATCAAAAATCCAGGTTCTAGATATAACAAATATCAAGGCCAATAACTTGTGCGATGATTCAGATCTTGGTAACAATGAATGCTAGGTATTACACTATCGCCAGTTTAGATCTGATTCTGAACGTGTTCACAGCTAACGATAATTTATTCGGAAACATGTTATACCTTTGTATACTTCGTGGGAGGGGTGCAAAGAGTGCACCTAGATATATTGAGCACACATTTCGATAACCAATCACCATTTTTTAAATATTTATGATCATATTCTCAAAATGTATCGCCACGGGTAAAGAAGAATAAACAATAACCGTTTTAATGTCAATCTCTTTCTTAACAAGGTCTTACTTAAACTAGTCACATATACTAAGTTTTGTGGAATGATTCGTGTTGAGAAAAGGGGAAAAATTGTAGGAGACAGAACTTTGAAAACTGTCCTTCGGTATATATATAGGGCTAGAGTAATGTCACTGAACCCTAACCAAATCATCCAGCAGGCAAACTACTGAATGTCAAACATTTTCCCGATTCTAGTCAAACCCAAGGACAATCAATTGCAAGTCATGGACAGGTATTTTCGGTAGTGGTTACTCATTGTACTTCTGTAACTTGTTAATACAAATAAATGCTGTTGCCTAATGAGAGTATTCATCCTAGCCGGACAATTAGAAAGCTAATCCACCTGATTATCACGATAGCGTAATCCACGTTAAGTATTAACAGCTAAATGTGACTTCTAAGTAAGCTAGGAGGTCGCACCATTCCCATCCAACTCGAGTAGACCAACAATCATCGACACAGATCAAATACTTCGGTTATATATAAATTCAATAAATAATTGGTTTGCGTTATCTTAATATTGTCTTAACTGTAAGTTTTCATCTAACTCACTAACCGTTAATATCTCTCTCACTGTTTATGGATAACATTTGACCAATAATTTACCTGAAATTGTTAACTACAATGCGTTGGGGTTCTGTAATTGATATAAATAATCATACAGTAGCTGTGCTGTGGAAATAAGTGTTATAGCTGTGTCGCACAAAATAGAAAACACAATAGATGGTACAATGTAGTAACCAAATAGAGATTATGTACCTGTTGTAAAGCCAGATATATTGAGTACAAAGAGTGAAAATCCAGGTAAGCTCTCATCGTTTCTCATTTAGACCTGCCCCATCTAGAATGTTCTCTCACTTGAAGTGACCACAGCCTCCTCAAATAATAGCTTTAAGAAGAGACTTGACAAACACGTACTCACTCATGGATTACAATCTCCTTCTTGGACAAGCTGTCTCATGCATGTCTCATAAATTACTACGTCGTCAATACCGCATATTGGTAACTACTTCCTAACTCTCTTTGTATCATCTCCGCCTACCCTCTTAACCTTTCAATTCCGTCTTCTCACATTGCCTGCAACACCAATCAATTGATTTTTTTATTCTTGAAGCAATCGTCTTCCATTAGCACTTGAATAATCACTTTATTATTTTTACATTGAAACCAACTAACTTTATATCCTGTAATGTGATTACTCCTGGTGTCCAGAAACGCTACTATAATTGAACAAATGCACTTACTCAAATTACAAGATATACAAATCCAAAAATAACCGTCAAACTGATTAGAATTAGTGCAACGGAGTGACTAGGCTACCACCCACTGGACATTACCAAATACCTGGAACTGTACCGAAACAATAACCTATCGGTTTTTAAAAGCTCATAACAAAGATATTTAGAAATTGGATATTAAATGACTCTGAGATATTCATGCTAAGTCTAATATCAGACTGGATAGCCCTTATTTTGAACCACTTGCATGAATTAATTTTCATAGCCGAATTTGTAAAAAAAAACATATTCAGAGAAACAGAATATGATAGTTTCAGTGCTTGAAGCACTTCAGATAATTGGAGAATTTAAAGGGCATAAAACAGTAAGACACTAACAAACATTAGTAGTTGAGCTACAAAACATCTTTTGTAAGTCACAACATAGCTGTTTCACCTAGAAAAAATAGAGAATCGTGAATTATGTTCTAACAAGATATTCCAATTTTCGGTAACAGGTTGTGGAGATCGTTGAGTTTTATTGATATCACGAACCGATCTAAGATAGACCACTACTGAAAATCTAGAAGCACTGACGGTTGTTTCATCTAGCATGGGACTCCTCAGAAGTGCGCATCCACGAACTCGCATGTGAGAATCAAACCCGGGACCCTAAGTCCCACACGCCAACGCTTAGCCTCCACGTCACTGTGTTGGAGACCAAGGGTACTGAGTTCGATTCCCACATGAAAAGTCGTGGACGCGCACTTCTAAGGATTCCCATACTAGGACAAAACGGCTGTTCAGTGCTTCCAGATTTTCAGTTCATGATTTCAAAGATAATGTTAACCTCGATCCACACCTTCCCTTTCAAAAACAGCTATAGATTAACAGGACTAACCTTAGTGGATGAATAACTTTGTATTAACTGTGTTTGATAGTCCAGAAAACTGATCACTTTCTGTCGCAGTTCATCATCCCTAGACACAGAATAAGAATGCAAATATATGTCAGCAAAACTATCTTTTCGTTAGTGGATTAAATAAATGTCGGATGATGATTAAATATTCACCGCAATGGAATAAGGTATTCGTTGTTGAATATCGACGTACAGTACGTAATTAAGAAATCATATAATCGTGAAGAATACCAAGTTTTGTTTGCCGTACACTTTAGAGTCTATTGGTCAAGTTGACAGTGTCTTCGTAGTCGTTCTGATCGCCGTGCAGTTGTCTTTTTTGGTGCTGTTCGTCAGTTACACTCATAACGATCTTGAAACCATCTCTGCAGTTGACTGGCATTTACGCGCTTCTGCTTGTCTTCTCTCTGGATCGTGTAGACCGAGCCGCGTCTCTCCGTGATAACATACGGTCCTTCCCATTTTGGGGCCAGCTTCCCCGACCCTCCTCCCCCTGCTATGTTACTTTTTCGTTCTCTACACTTTACTAGGTCCCCCACTGCAAAGGGTTTCCAAGTTCTCCTCTGTTGTTCTGCCTTCTTTGTATCTGATATTTGTTTCTTTTCCACGTTCCTTATTGCCTCTCTCCTCTCTTTTCTTAACCTTGTTGTCGTCCACTTCTGTTGTTGTGGCCAGGTCTTATTATGCATTGGAAGTCGTGGTTGTCTGCCATACATGAGCAAGAAAGGTGACTTCTTGGTTGTTCCTTGTGTAGAGGAACGATGTACCAGCAAAATCAATGGTAACTCTTTCTCCCAATTTCCTCCTTTAGATGCTAACCTTTCCTTTAACGTTCGATTGTTTCTTTCTGTAAGCCTGTTTGTCTGAGGATGATACGGTGTAGTTCGTATCCTCTTGATGTCAAACTGCTTTAGACGGGTTTTAAGCTCGTCACTTTCAAAACAAGGACCATGGTCAGTTAACATCATCTTCGGTATTCCGTGACACGCTACAATATGCCGGATTACCACTTCGGTCACTATTTTTGCCCGCTGGTCTGCAATGGGTACGGCATCCACCCAACGTGTAGCATGTTCCGTCGTCACTAGCAGGTACCGGTTACCGCTCACCGTCTGTGGAAACGGTCCCATCACATCCACCGACCATAGATCACCGACTGCAGTTACTAGGATTGACTGTAATGGTGGTTGTGCGTATCGATCGCTTTTCATTAGTCGACACTGCTGGTAAGTTAACACGTATTGAACCACATCGTCTCTCATGCCTGGCAAGTATGCACTTTGTTGTAGTAAATCCGTCGTTCTTGTGATGCCTGTATGTGCTACCTCGTGACACTCGTGTATCATCTTAAGCAGCCAGTCTTCCGGGATCACAACCACCCAATTCTCGCCATCATCCTGCCAGGTCAGGACTCCATATGCGTTCACTCTCAGTCGTTCCTTTTGCCGAAGCAGCATTATCACCTCCTTGTCCATTGTTCGTTTGTTTACGTCTGCTCCCTTTTTTATCACTCTGATTACCTCTCGAAGGTTAGGGTCAGCTTTCTGCTGCCGGACGGGTTATAATGGGTCTTCCTCTAAACCATTCACCGCGTATGCTGTCAATGGAAGGTCGGCTTCCATGTCTAGTCTTGACAAGTAATCCGCCATTACGTTTTCCTTTCCTGGAACATGGCCGATACTGAAGTCGTATTCTTGCAGACGTATCATCCATCGCACCAACTTCCCTCGGGGGTCTCTTGCTGTTTTCAACCACTGCAGGGGTTTATGGTCAGTCTCAATGTGAAATCGTCCACCTAAAAGGTACGGTCTCCATTTTTCCACTGCCCACACGATTGCTAGACACTCCTTTTCGATCGTTGAATACTTCTGTTCGGCGGGTGTGAAGACGCGACTCGCGTACTCCACCACTCTATCAGACTGACTCAACACAGCACCTATACCATGATCACTTGCGTTTGTGGCCACTGTAAACGGTTTCTCGGGTTCAGGCAGTCTGAGCGTCATCCGACAGTCGTCTAACATGTTTCTGATTCTGCTGAACGTTTGTTTGGCAGTCTCAGTCCACGTAAACTTAATGTCGTTCAACAACTTATATAGAGGTGCTGCTATTTCGTCGAAATTTTCGACAAACCGACTGTAAAACGCCGCCCTTCCAAGGAACTCTCTTAACTTCCTTTTCAAATTAGGTACTGAAATATTCTATATGATAGGAATTTTCTCCGGCAATGGTTTTATTTCTCCATTTCCCACTTTATGTCCCAACAAAGTGACGCTACTTTTCGCTATCTGCGACTTATCTTTATTAATTCGAAATCCAAATTCGACAATTCGCTTTAAGACCGCTTTCACATGCTTGATGTGATCTGTTTCTGTTTGACTGTACACAACTACATCGTCGCCATATACCTCGACGTTGCCTAGATCTTTGAGCAGTAGCGTCATTAATCTTCTGAACGTAAACGGTGCACCCACCAACTCGAACGGCTTTCGTTTAAATTGATACTGTTTATCACGTACAGCAAATGCTGTCTTGCTTCGATCGCGCTGTTTTATAGGCAGTTGCCAATAACCTGACCGTAAATCCAGCACTGTAAACACCGTAGCATTTTATAGTTGATCTAATGTTTCCACCACTATTGGCATCGCACAAGATTTCAGGTCTGTTATATTATTCAATTCTCTAAAGTCGACACAAAATCTATACATTCCATTCGGTTTCTTTATTAAGAGTACCGGGGAGCTATACAGGCTGTCCGCTTCCTCAATTATACCTTCTTTCAACATCTCCTGGACCTATCGATTTACTTCGGCCTCTAAATGCACCGGGACACAACGTGTCGTAAATATAATTTACTCGATCGTTCTTTATCGGGAATTCGTTCTTTACTTTGTCACAAAATCCATATGGCTCCCCATCTCCAGTGAACAGTTTCGCATACTTTGTGCACAACTCGTTAATGTTTGGTTTCTTCGTCGAGACTTCCGTTGCCACTCTTATTTCAGTCACTTCGCTACTTTCGTGTATTGGCATTGAACCGTACTTTGTGACCACCTTACCGCTTCTTAGGTCAACTATCGCTTTTACTTCTCTTAGGAAATCTGTTCCCAATATCGGTCTCGATAGCCTTATGGTTACCACGAACGGAAAATTTATCTCAGCATCACTCACTTTCACGATACTGTTAGACACCCTCAACACTTCTAACATGCGCACTCCTATGATGTGGACAGCTAATGTACGTGACCTGAGTCTCTTACATTCCTGCCCCTGTATCGATCATACACACTAAATTTCATTCATTTATGTTCACTCTCGTATAAACTGCTCCTCTATTTACTAATGCAACAACCTCCAGATTCCTAGGTTAGAAAGAACACACGTTATAACCTCCAGAATATCTGCGTCTTCGTCTTGTTGGACAGTTTATCTTCCAATGTCCTGACCATCCACAGGCGTAACATTTATCATTCCTTTTGTGATTCACTCATATTGCCGCAATCTCACGCTCCAGCTCCTGAATCTTCTTCTCGACACTATTTATCTCCTGCTCTCCGCACCCGACCAGAGCTACTGTTCGTATCATCATCTGTCGAGTCACCTCCGCTAGTTCACTGATATTCATAAGTTGCGCTGCGTTTACTAGTTTCAGCTGCTGGAAAACGGTGGTAGGCACACTCTCGGTGAACTGCGACGCCAATAACTGTGCCTTCGACTCTTCATCCAGATTCGGCAGCGCACGGCACAACAACCTGGTAAGCTCCACAGTCAGCACCAATGGGTCACCATCGACCGACAACCTCGCCAACCGGAACTTCTGCAGTGCCTCCCCCTGTCTACTGGGCTGTCGAACTCCGCCACCAACCGCTCCATGACTGTCCCCTATGTCGTCTTTCCTCCAGCACCGTCCAAGCTGTCATATACAGCCCTCGCCCTGCCTCTCGGCAGCGTCCCGAGCACCACCATCTTCGCCTTCGGCTCCTTCACTCCCACCAGCTCCGCCACGGCCTCAAACTCCTTCAAGAAGCCCACCACATCTCCGTCCTCAAATTCTTTCGGCCATGGAATCTTCATCCTTAGTGGAAGCAGCGACAACAAATGTAGTGAAGGAGAACATAGGTCTAGGATTGCAATTGGTTAGTCTCTTATTGATAAATACTCATCCTGAGCGGATTGCCTCGATATTGCCAACAAGTCACAAGCGTTTTCAAGTAGAGATGGATAACGGCCATCAGTGGGATTCAGGACGCACGTTTCGTCTTATTTGGGACCCGTAAGCTGGATGTATCTGCATTCCAGAGATGATGTTCACTCCAGGACTTGAACCTAGTACTGTGTTCTTCACATGAAATCACATTATCCACCTAGCTAGAGTCCAGATAGCCACTAGATTGTGTAATGGGATGAAATTCAATTCATTTTTGTATTGATTGTTCGATTCTTCTCAATAACGTTTAGGACTGGAATTGATCGATCTCTTATTATAAAACGGAATGAGCGTCCTGGATTACACTGCTAGCCACCATCCATCTCTGCTTATAAAACAGGTTAATGGTCATAATGCTATCGTTCGAAGTAAACAAATTCTCCCATGAGATTTTGATTTACGAACCAAAGCTATTTGTGAATTAATGACTGGGAAAGGTGTGAAGACTTCTATTCCATGAGTCCATCAGGAGAAAACAAATTCATTTATCACGTATCAACTTGTTAGGCTGGTTGTAAATCACAAATAGAGGTAATTTAAACCTTTTCGTCAACTTCTTCGAGACTAAAAATTAATGAGATATACCAAACGTTTATACATATTTGCATCTAGAAATTCAATAGCATAAACAAACAGACTATATAATGAAGATATAAAAAAACTAGAATGCAACAAATACAAGTCCATTCAGTGGTATTAAAGATTATAAAATGACTAAACAACAAAATCGTAGTCAAAAGTCCTTTATCGAATAGTTAGAATATGACTGTAGTGAACGAGAACACAAGTGCTGGACAATCGACCGTATTTTGATACAAAATTACAGAGTATCTTGGTAAAATATAAGAACCATACATAAAATACTCCATTTGTAAATATCCCATCAATTGTCTCAAATGTTATCGTTCTTTCATTGCCACAACAATTACTCTCTCCTCCCGTTCCCTTCGATTCAATCTTCCCAACCTTTTGCTACCAGGTATTCCTCTTCTGATTGATGTTATACATTACTTATGTCGATATAAGTAGCATCCACCACATGATCAGCAGTGGAATCTAGGACGCGCTTTTCGACTTGTAAAAAGCCTATGGCATAATGACTATTTCGATGCAATTCGCAAAGAATGCATATGTACCAACTGGAGAACTCTAATCATTACAGTCAAAATTAAAATCATTGTCAATTTTGGATGGAATAGAAAGAAATATGAAATAAATAAGCAAAAGTTTAGAATTTTAAATAATGATTAAAAACAGTTGCCATTTTATCGCACTATACCCGAATTAACTAAAAGAAAACTAATGTTCAAAACAGTTAAATCAATGACAGTTGTATTATGAACACCTTGTGAATTAAGCTAGTTAGTATTCAGTTAAATAAGATTGAATAAGGCATCACTAAAATAGATAAAACTACTTACTACCTTGTGTATAGTAGTACACATAAATTTTAAGGAATTTCCAGCGAAAAAATTACAGATTAACAATACTATTTTTGAAACTGAAGACAATAAAAAGATCTTTTTGTTTCTTTTTCATATAATTAATATATTACAGCTTTACATTGATAACTCTTCGGTTTGTAAAATTAAATTTCTATGGATATAAGTAACCCACACCACATTCGTGGTAGTGTTTTCATTGTTCAATAAAATGTGACACTCATGACGGTGGTCAGGCATAGAATGTCTTTCAGTAGAAGGTCGATGAGGAAAGAACGGAAACGGAACGCAATTGGTATGAAAACGCATGAACAATGAAATCTGAGACAATGGATTGATATTTGCAGCAGGGACAGTCAAGTTTAAGATGATGGATTGATATTTTGCAAATTAACGATTTACCATATTGTTCTCAGATTTTATTGAGATGCTCTGTAATTTTGTACTCAAATACATTCGATTGTCCCAACTGGCGTTCTTGTTCACCACAATATGAACTTGAAAACCATAAATTTTTATTCAGTTTAATTCATATTGGTTGGTTAGCAAGAAATAAGAATGATAACAATTGGAGAATAAGACTTAGTCATTCGACAAAGATCTGTGAGGATGAACCAGTTTAACGACTTGACGGAATTTAGAAAATTGATGGTTATTCTTGCCAATGTTCTAGATTTCATTGATCTACTAAAATGAGTTCCTTCGGTAATCTTCATCAAATTACCAAATTACTTCATACAAACATTGTGGTTTTTATTTTGATTATATTTGTGAAAGGAAAAGTTGCATAATTACTTTTCATTAGTCATGGATGATAAACACAAAGGTACTTCCGGTTACTATCAAAAGACGACTAACCACGACTGTTGTACTTAGACGTTATGAAGCTAATGGTAATTATGATTTTTGAGACAAGTTTAAGAACATTATGAATGTGTTACATTTTCAATCTAATGTTGGTCAACTAAAGTATCGGAAAAACTGCATCAAAAGCACTATTAGAATAAATATATAACAAAAACTCAGAATTAAACAGATCAGTAGACAAATAAATTCCATGATAGACGTACTTTATTGTTAAAGGATTTACCAAAGGAGGTTCATTCAGAAAGAGATGAATAACAGCTTCCTGCGAAAAAAATATTTTTATTTAAAAATGTATAAGTTGAATTATCACGTTTTTTATCAATATTAAATGCAAAATGAGTAAGACTAAATGTTGAGTCGGCTTCCGAGAACTACAACGGAGCCTCCAGAGGCCCTAAAGGAGTCGAAGAGTTTTCATCCGATCAGAACATGATGAAGCTTACTAGAATATCAATGTGGCATGCTACGATTGGATAGTAGCATAATATGTCTCGTTGAGGATTGGGTGAATTATAATGTTGATTTAACAAATGCTAATACCTATAAATACGCGTGATTTTCTGTACATTTCGATTCTTACCAAATAAACACTTCTCCAGCTTTTCTTCTGTCTTCTGGTATGAGACGGTGAAGTTCCGATGTTCGAGTGTCGTAGTCGTAAACAGTATTCTGCGTTAATCAAGTAGCGAACTTAACACTATAGAAATAATCTGAATTTTATCTTAAATATCGATGAATTTTTATGCTCCTGCTAAGGAACATACCTTTCGCTGGAGTACATTACAATTCAAACTTACGAGGCAGAAAAATTTCATTTACAATATACAACAAATTAAATATTAGGACACTTGTTCATCCAATATGAGACAAAGTATCATATACTGATAGATTTTAGGTAGCTGAAAACAGATGACTTTAAATTATTCCTTTTTCGTGGTGGAATCAATATAGGTGAACATCCCTAGCTCAGTTGTGACATCTCTGTGTTGTTAAATGGTAGAGGTTTGAATGAACAATAAATTAAGCCAACTCAAATGCCCAAGTTCATCTTGTAATCAGAGATACAAAACCACAAAACATGAGTTTAGTTTCTGTAGACGGGAAATATTTTGAATCTGTTTAGGTTACTAAAACAAAGAGAGCCCCTAGCTTTTTGATACATTTGCGTACAGACAGCTTAGAGATGATAGTGCTGAATAAGCACAAATAACATTTCGAAGTGGACCAGTATAGTATAAATGCGTATTCTACCGTACAGGATTTTTAAAAAAACATATCTTACAAAATGTTATAAATATAAAGCGATGAACATCAATTCTAGCAATATATGAAGATTGTTCACATTGTTGAAACCCACTGACTAGATACTGATTTGGTCCGACTGTAGGACCGATACGTATGTAGAAGGCATATATTGGATTTTATGTTAATTTTCACCTATCCATATCAAGATCAGCTTAAGTGAGTTAAATAAACTAAGTCAATCATTAGGTGAATTCTCACTCTTAATTAAGTTCTCATTATTTAATACATGAAACCCGATTCATATCAACTATTAAATGGGCTGAACATAAAACTTTCGTTATATTACACATTTTTCACGACCTAAATGGTATAAAATCGCGAGAAACATACCCATCAGGAAATGAATGATATAAAAATAAAAACTTACAAGGTCTGAGATTCGGTTTAATAGATTTAAGTTATGCGTAGATAGTTCTGCTACCAAGTTTTCATAGGAATTGAACTTATCAGAGTCTTTGTCGAAGAAAATATATGAAACCCACAGAACGTACCATCATTACGATTATCTTTTGAAAGAGATTTTTCAATATTATTCTGAGGAAGAAACAAATGGAAACTAACAGTTTTTACTGCAAAGCATAGTGCGAACATCCAATAAGAGGTTACTACAAAGGTTTTCTGAGTCAAAAAATATAAATCTAGGCTGTGTCTAATGACATGAATGTTTAGCGTAACAGCTAATTAATTACAAATGCTATGCTATGTAGCTGAATAGATAGATATAATCAATGAACACAGGAAAACATCGGAACGAACATGTAAAGAACAACATAAGTCAACAGAAAATTCAAAGTCTTGATGAATATCAAGGAATACTATATATAGACTACCATAAAAAACGTCGGTCCACGTGACTAGAAGTCTTGATTCACCAACGTCAGGATTCGTTAAAATCCTAGTAAGTACTTTTACACTTTACCAGAAGGCCCAATTCCCCTAAGTGTCAACGAATTGTGGCAGTTCTTTCATTTTCAGTTACTCTTTTAGACGTGAATATATTTTGGCAATAAAGAAGTAGGTGATGATTCTGCATAAACAGTAAGGATTGAATTTGATTCTACTGTGGCCGAGAAATATGCAAAACAGGTTCATGTGCTAGGCTTTAAACCACCTATTATTTGATTGCAGTAATATCTATTTGCCGCAAAGTGTGCATATCGCACACACATTTGCAAATTAATGGTTGAGTGTCAAGTAACTTAAAGATGAAGCAGTTGCTTAAACTTAAAAACTTAGCACATGCCACAGTGTACTCGGTTCGTTGATAAGTGAAACAAGACCATAAAGTGAGGTTATATGTTCATGAACTCACGTTTAACAGTTTCCTGATGAAAACGGAGGGATATCATAACGTGAAATAAAAATCCCCACTGCAGTGAGGATTTTTTTTAACCATGACATGGTGGACACAAAAACTGATTTTATCTCAGAAACATGGCTAATGTCAGTAGTGCATGATAGTGAAATTCAATTGCTTGGTTTCTTACTTTGTAGGCATAACAGACTAAACTGTAGGGGTGGTGGGGTTATCCTGTATATGAAAAGCGCCCTAACCATACGAGCTCCCCAAACAATGGCACGCGATTCAGGGAAGTGAGAAATAGAGCACCACTGGTTGGAATGTAAAGGGCAAGACATTGAATTTGTTGCAGTATGGCGCAGTCCAGAATGTTTAATGGATTACTTCCCCTTGAATAAACTTAAATCCTAGTCAAACAGGTGTAACAGCCTTATGGTAGGTGACTTTAATGCACTCTCTATAAATTAGGGTAGCTTAGAAGTAGGAGCATCGAGAACGTCGTTTGATTACAAATTGTTGGGAACCACAATCGTCCTAGCTTTATCTCAGCACATTAGAGATCCCACAAGATACGAAACTCCTCGTATCTCTTGAACTTAGTCACTACACATAATGATGATGCTAGTCAAATAACGTTCCCACCACCTATTATTTATGGCGGTTGTACAATCAAGTAATTCAGCCATTTATGCCTTGAACAGTCACAAAGAATAAAAAGAACGGTCATTCCTGTGTAAATAAAGATTCCACGTTCACTAAGACAGAAGAAAACATGTTGGGGCGTCGCAATCAGCCTTTACAAAACAAATACGTTGGAACGCCACAGGTTTATTCAGAATAAATGTACTGCCACAATCCAGACACCTCAGTGGAAATATGAAAAGCAGTTGGCACGATCTGTAATCAAGCGGCCGGAGGGACTGTTATCGTACATAAACTGAAGAACAAGAACGTATCATTGGATCCCCAACCTAATTACAAAAGGGAGTGAATCTCAAATGATAAAGATCAAAACAAAGCAGAAGACATAGCGGACTACTTCAAGACAGTTTCTACTCAGGAGCCACATTTAAACGAAGAATTAGACTCAACGAAAAAGTCAGAAAATCGGCCACTTGCTGCGTACTTTGATTAGAACAACTTACTGAAGGTAATTGGGACTTTAGGTACAGAAAAATCAACAGAACCGGATGAACTGCATCATATAATCTTGAGACAAATTTCACAATAAATTTATGCCCTGCTGATGACAATATTCAATATGTCACTTGGGCGAGGTGAGTTACCTATGGACTGGGGGAACGAAATTGTCACTCCGATTCATAAAACAGGATCTGTCAGCCTCACCAGTGTCATAGTTAAAATACAGGAAAGAATACTCAAAAAAGCCACAATGACAGTCTTGGAAACCAAGAACTCGTTAAACAGAGAACAACCTGGTTTTAGGGGAGGATCGCCTTGCACGAAAAACCTCTTTATAGCAAGAGAAAAATGGAGTATCTCTAAATAATGGGTAATCAGTGGTTACTTTCTACACAGACCTCAGCAAAGTATTTGATAAAATGCCGAATAATAAATGGCTCGTGAAGCTACAAAATCTAAGAATCGCCAGACCTCTATTAAAGTGGGCAAAGAATTTTTTGGTAGTTCGTAGACAGAAAGAATAAATTTCGAATGCTCCACCCGGAAACCAGTACTTAGTGGAATATCGTAAGACACTATTCTATGTTCATTTTTGTACTGCGTGCGAATGAACTCAAAAGTATAAAAGAGCCCCTGATGCTACTATACGCTTATGTAAAAATCCAGAGAGAGATAACAGAAGACGCAGATGCATGTGAACTTCAGGCGAACTTATACATTCTCATTAGCTGGTCTAAAAATGCATGATGCCTATCAACGCGGCTAAGTGCATGCACATTGAGGACAAAAAGGTAATTCGGTACAAAATACGGGAAGAGTTGATGCTCGTTCTCCGGTCTAACAACGATCTTGGGGTAAGAATGAGTCATGATCTTAAGACCACGGCCCACTGACGCGCGGTCGCAGATAAAGAGTTCAGGACCCTATGAACCTTAAGGCGGACATATACCAAGTTGGATGCTAATATTTCCAACACAATACACACAACCTGGATTAGGTCTAGACTTAAGAACTGCGTTCAAAATGCAAGCTCCTGGTTAAAATGTGACTCTGGAATCTTGGAAAAAGTACAGAGAGCAGCCACCCGTGCAACTCCACAGCACCGAGGTTTGCCATCTGCAGAGAGACTTGAGAAGCTGGGCTTCTTTATCCTGTCCTATCACAGATTGAGGGGTGATTTGATTTTAATGTACAGAATACTATAAAATGAATTCGGAACTAATATATCCTCTTTTCCCTTCCTACTATATATGATTTAAGGTCATGATGACCTAGACACAGCAGGCGAGTACAAAATTCAAGGGAGAGCAAAATACGCGTGGTACACAGGCTTTCACAGTGAGTCATTAATTCTTGGGACCTGTTAAGCGAAGTGGTGTGCACCAAAGACGTCTGCCCCTTCAAAAAACTCATTCAACAAAAACTTGACAATTTCGGGAGATTACTAGAAGAAGACTGGCACAGGATATAGGCTTTCTGTTCTCAATAGGCAAATCTGAAAATCTGGATCGACAAGTTATCTCATAAATTATAATCTCAATTCTGAATCTGGTGATTACGAAACTTACAGACAGACTTCCATGTAACGATTCGAAATGCACCATAAGTGAGTCTGAATTTGAGAAAGACTCCAGACACTCAGGGCAAACGAAGCCAGATACTGCGTTGTCTAAGCAAATTACAGAAGATGAGAAACATACTTTCAGCTGACATACGACCTTGGGTTGACCTTGAAAAGATAACAAATTTCCACCTTTATCATTTCAAGCAAATTGAGCGAAGCAAACAAATAAAGGGTCAGAATTTAAGGTTTCCTTGTTTTTTAATGCAGGCAGATGGCGAAAGAAATATCACTGTGCAAGGTATGTCAGAAAACTCGGGTCCTGACCATACAAACTTTGATATTGGGGAATGGAAATTCATCAAGCAGTCCTTGAATCTCGAAAACATATTGGTGAAACCAGCTAAGAAGGAAGGGAATTCTACACATCAGCTGATGAAGGTAATGTAAATAATACTCTTCTGATAGGAATATCTGAAACGTGGACACGTCAAATTACGGACCAGGAGCTAGCAATACACGGGATGTCATTATCTTGCAACAATTGAAAAACAGGAATGGGGGTGGAGTGGCCTTATACCTACAATCTTGTTTGGTACACCCAAGAGTTTACCAATCTTGATGAAGACGTATAGTGCCCAGTAACATTGTCTAACACCTCGAGGTGTCTAGTTGGAGTCATCTAATGCTAAGATGTGACAGGTATTCAGTGTTTGACAACGCTTTTACCAGTAACACCTTCTAATATATTCCGTTCCCACCCAGAGAAATCAAAAGACAGAGTCGAGGAGATCGGAAGAGTGTATTTGGCGATAACCAATATATCGGGATTCTCTGATCTAATCTGGCTAGCGATTGCGGTTGATGTTGAGCACGGCGTTACCACACGTGATCTGGTGCGGATGCCTGACCGAGCGCCTTCAGCTAGATGAGTTCACTAAAACATATGGTCAGCATCCAATGTCGAAAACTTACAGAGCTATTTATTTTGGAGATTTATTTACCGCTACAACTGTAAGCCCATTGTTGACACCGAATATGACAATCGCATGCTGGAAGGATTATCCCACTCTAATCGTTTCGGATACACTCATATCCTGATTCCAGGAGACTTCACTCCTTCCAACGTCAACTTCGCTGAACACACGTATATTGGAGGTGACAATCCTACACCTCGAGGTGTCTAGTTGGAGTCATCTAATGCTAAGATGTGACAGGTATTCAGTGTTTGACAACGCTTTTACCAGTAACACCTTCTAATATATTCCGTTCCCACCCAGAGAAATCAAAAGACAGAGTCGAGGAGATCGGAAGAGTGTATTTGGCGATAACCAATATATCGGGATTCTCTGATCTAATCTGGCTAGCGATTGCGGTTGATGTTGAGCACGGCGTTACCACACGTGATCTGGTGCGGATGCCTGACCGAGCGCCTTCAGCTAGATGAGTTCACTAAAACATATGGTCAGCATCCAATGTCGAAAACTTACAGAGCTATTTATTTTGGAGATTTATTTACCGCTACAACTGTAAGCCCATTGTTGACACCGAATATGACAATCGCATGCTGGAAGGATTATCCCACTCTAATCGTTTCGGATACACTCATATCCTGATTCCAGGAGACTTCACTCCTTCCAACGTCAACTTCGCTGAACACACGTATATTGGAGGTGACAATCCTACACCTCGAGGTGTCTAGTTGGAGTCATCTAATGCTAAGATGTGACAGGTATTCAGTGTTTGACAACGCTTTTACCAGTAACACCTAATATATTTCGTTCCCACCCAGAGAAATCAAAAGACAGAGTCGAGGAGATCGGAAGAGTGTATTTGGCGATAACCAATATATCGGAATTCTCTGATCTAATCTGGCTAGCGATTGCGGTTGATGTTGAGCACGGCGTTACCACACGTGATCTGGTGCGGATGCCTGACCGAGCGCCTTCAGCTAGATGAGTCCACTAAAACACATGGTCAGCATCCAATGTCGAAAACTTACAGAGCTATTTATTTTGGAAATTTATTTACCGCTACAGATCACTCCCTCCCCAGTGGGTTAGTGATGACCCTAAGACGTGGCCAGCCAAAAGTTTAAACCAAACGAGTTTGTCGTTGGTAAACACTCTTCTGATAGCTTACCAAGTGTAGCAGCGTCTGGTTGTCTTTCCTTGCTATATGGGACAGAGGTACAACATAGTTACAACGAAAATTTTGACTCCTCGTAAACTCAATCGTTCTTTTCCAGCCGTCCAGGAAAAGAAAAAAGAAAGTGTAAGTGAATGTCGAAATACACTCCTATGTGCGTAAAAACACAATGTCGGTGAAAAAATGATAAATATACTCAAGCACACGTAATAGCGTTAAAAAAATGTTTTTTTATGTTTTATTTTTTTTAAATAAAAATATAAATATATAAGCATATTCAAATTGTCTTTTTTTTAAAATAATAAATCGTAAAAAGAAAGATCGAGATAATATAAAGTGTCGAGGAGTTCCTTACGTGCAGTAGTTGTTCAAATGTTCTGAAAATCTTAAGCTTCTTCCAGAACGCGTCGTTTTAAGTTTATTTTCTGATGCTGCCGAAGTACGATCGTGTGTGTTGCCTGTCGGTTGAAATATTATAAGTGTAGGAGTCGTGTCGTGCGATTGTGCCGAAGGAAAATCGATGTGAATAGGACTTCCTTTTAAATACGCTGCTTTGTTGCTGTCGATGCTGATGCTATCGTTGTTCCCGTTATTATTGATTGTATAGTACTTCGGTTCGCGTTGAAGAACTTTGAAAGGTCCTTCGTATGCTGATTCGTAAGGTTGTCGATGCGAGTCTCGATGTCCGAAGACGTGTTTACCATATCGTATGTCAGGTTGAGCGAAAACACCAGTTGATTCAGGTCGAGTGGAAACAGGTTTAACTGAACTTGTAAGCCTGTTAGTGTAGGAGGTTAGATCCATGTTCATTGAAAAGGACGAAGGATCCACGAATTCTCCTGGAAGTCGAAGTGTCGTTCCATAAACGAGTTGAGCCGCAGTGTGTCCAATGTCAGCTTTCACTGCATTGCGGATACCTAGTAAGACGAGTAGAAGAGCGTCAGTCCACTAAGAAATCTTTGAAGTTGATAGTGAAGCTTTTAGTTGTCGGTGAAAGCGTTCCACTAACCCGTTTGCTTGTGGATGGTAGGCGGTCGTTCGGAAGCGAGTGATTCTTAATAGTGCAACGGAAAAGTTCAGATTCGAACTGACGCCCACGACCTGTAGTGATAGTAAAAGGGCAGCCGAAGTTTGCTATCCATCGTTCGACGAAGGCGCGGGCCACTGTTTCAGCAGTGATATCCTTGATAGGTGCTGCTTCTGGCCATCGAGTGAAACAGTCAACGCAGGTTAAGAGATGAGAGTATCCATTTGAATCTGGTAAAGGTCCTATCAACTCCAGATGAACATGGTCGAAACGAGAATCAGGAGTTTTAAATGAGCCTAAGGAACATTTATTGTGTCTGATAGCCTTAGATATCTGGCAGCTTACACAGAAGAGTGCCAACTCCCTCACGTCTTTATTCATGCCAGGCCAGCAAAACCGTTCTGCTATAAGCTTGATCGTTGCACGAACACCTGGACGAGAAAGTTTGTGCAATGTATTGAAGACATTGCGTCGATAATGTTTCGGCATGATTGGGCGATCCCTACCTGTAGATGTGTCTCAAAGCATGGTTTATTTACCTGTTTCAATCTCTCCGATGCGTAGCTTGAGGATTCTTGAGGATAACTCGTGCTGGAGATCAGTGTCTTCTTTTTGAAGCTGGGCGAGTTTCAGGGGGTCGATTCCTTGGAAACTGTTCACGGAGGTTATTCGAAACAAGGCGTCTGAGACTACATTGTTTGCTCCAGAAATGTGCTGAATGTCTGAAGTAAACTGCGAAATGTAGTCCAGTTGTCGAGACTCACGAGGCGAGTACTTGCCTGAAGAGGAGCTCAAAGAGAAAGTAAGAGGCTTATGGTCAGTGAAAAGGGTGAATTCGCGGCCTTTGATATAGTGTTGAAAATGCCGTACAGCACAATACATAGCTAGGATTTCCCTACCGAATGTGCTGTACCTCGATTCAGTGTCTAGCAGCCGTCTAGAGAAAAATGCCGAAGATTGCCGAGAGTGGTTAACCCATTGTTGTGAGACTCCTCCGATTGCTGAGTCGGATGCGTCTACTGAGATACTAATGGGTGCTTCAGTGTCCTGATGTGCAAGCATTGTTGCTTTAGCGATAAGTTCCTTAACTGTGGAGAATGCTTTTCGTGCGGTGTCGTCTAGATTGATGGATTTAGCATTTCCACGAAGTTGGTCGGTAAGAGATTTCATGAGTTACGTGCATTTCAGTATGAATCGTCTATAGAAACTTACAAGGCCGTTAAACGTGCGTAATTGCTTGACGGTGGTCGGTTCTGGGTAATCCAGAATGGCCGCCACTTTGGTTCTAAGGGGTCGGATACCTTGAGCATCGGTAGTGTGTCCCAGAAAGTCTAATGAGTCGGTTCCAATTCGGCATTTCTGAACGTTTATAGTAATGCCATGTTTTTGTAGTCGTTCGAAAACAAGATCCAGACGCTTGAGATGTGTTTCTCTGTCCGGACTTGCGATTAGACAGTCGTCAACATACGCGTGTACGAAATTGAGACCTCGAAAAACGTCGTCTATGAATCTTTGGAATGTTTGAGCAGCATTTCTTAGACCGAAAGGCATTCGCAAAAATTCATAGTGTCCGAAGGGAGTTATATGAGCTGTTTTCGGAATATCTTCAGTAGTCATAAGGATTTGGTCATACGCTTTAACCAAGTCGATTTTCGAAAAGACAGTTGTACCTTTCAATGTAACGATAGATCGCCCACGTGAAGTACTTCCTTACAGGGTGTGTGACCGTTTACGGTTGTTACGAAATTTAAGATAACTTGTGAGTGTATGATATAACTCTGTAATGTCATTCTGGGTCGTTTGAGGCTTTTCTTTGACTGAAAAATCTCGACGTTAAATGATTTGGTGTTTTCTAAGGTGCGGTCAGCAGTTGCAGCTAGCTCGTCTAAGGCATTGTTCGGGAACGAGACCAGAACTGCTTGCACCTGTTGGGGAAGTTTTGATAAGAAGAGTTGTTTGAATAGACCTTCGTCGAAAGTTCTTGGGCCTATAACCTCTCTCATCCGTTGCAACAT